ACGCGTCCCAGACCGGCGCATTTATTGCGTCCAAAAAAAAGGGGTCCCTCCGTTTCCGCCCAACGACGTCGTGGAAGTGTCGCGTCGTCGCCGACCGCGACCCCGGGGACGTTGCAGCGGCGGACGCCCGTTTTCCGCGGGTTGCTCTTTGGCTTGACGGTTCGCGGAAACCTCGGCGGTCGTTCCCGTCTTTGCGACATCATTTGTCGCCACGGACTGCTTTCTATGCGTGGGCGGACTCCGGAGAGCAAGTTGTCCGTTTCTTCCGCGGGGGATGCGGAGCGCAAGTTTGTCTGCAAGAGGCGGACAAACTTGCGCCCTGCATAGAATGCTAAATGCACCGGTTGGACACGCGTTCTAGGCACCATAGTATGAGGCGTCCGACATCCATCTTTCACACGACGCTGGCTTCGCCGACCTTCTCCGGGCTGCTTTTCACCGCAATGCTGAGGTAGGTCGCGGTGTGGTGGGCGAAGATCTTTAAGAGACTGCGCAAGCTGAGGAACCATTCCTCCCTCGGCAGCCTCTTCCTGGTAGGGGTGAAAGTGAGAAAACAAGGTCAGCCATCTGCTCTCTTTAAAAAAAACAAAAAACTACGAAGGCTGGTGCAAGTGCAAGTTCGTGCCGAGGTGGGTAGTGCGTTGCGAGAGACTGTGCTGCAAAGCAGAGAGGAGAGAGAGTGAAGACGAGCAGAGAGAGAAACAGCAGAGAGCAAGCCGATGGGTGGAAGCAACGAGTGCTGCGGACGTCTTCGGCAACGCCGGTTACTGATGACAACTGACAAACCGGGACAGCGGTTGTCAAATCGGGGTTCCTGAAGGCCTTCTTAGGGTCCCCCAAGCCCTCAACCGTCAATCAAACCAAACAATAAATCTGTTTTTCTTTTTTTTTTCTTTTAATTTTTGGTGCTGGTTGTTTTACGAAGCTAAACAGACCAAACCATGTGCACCGAGTGAGTGAGGCTGATTATTTTCCGTTTAAGAGCTTCAAAGTTGCTCGAAAGTTGACTTTTGTCATTGTAACCATCCAATTTCACCCCCCTCCCCATCACTTCCAACGATCCAGAAGGGGTCGGTGCAATTGTGGACCAAAGAAGAAAAAGAGTGCATTCCGGACAACGTTCCAGCTAAGTGGCACCGCTCGGTGGCAGAAACAGAAGTTTATGCCCGCAATTCGTGCCACATTCTGCTTGCTACTCCTAGATGGCGGCAATGTCCACAACACTCTATGTATAAATAAAGAAAATCAGATTGGCTTTTGTTTGCAACTTTGAGGTAAATTTCCTTCATAGTACAAAAACCAAACCAAATCCTTTTTCACCGTGTGACAAGAGTTACAGAGTTGCCAAACTCTTTTCAATTTTGTATAGGGCAAAGACGGGTGCTCTTCATTCATTTCATTTGAACCTCAGAATTCTACAATTTGGCCGAAAAAATGTGCTTTAAAAAAAAAATTTAATTTGGGTTGCGAAACCCAGCTTGGTTTCGAAAGTTTTGTTCATAAATATGTAAGATTTCTTTCACAAGAAATCCTTTGCAGCAAACCGGCGGCCTGCTGAGTGAGAAGGCAGCAAGGTCTTGCTTTATTGAATAGGGACTATGGTAGTACTTAATGCTTGCTCAACATGGCTGGAACCTTTTACCCTCATTGAAAGCGCCATTTAGTCTAGTCTCTGGCTAGATAAGCTTTTCACGTCAAAGGGTACCAGAGCACTGGAGGACCCTGAACATTCAAACAGAAAAGAGTGACAAATATTTTACGAACTATCTAATTTTTTGACACCCAAAGCACAGCTTACAAGATGCCCTTATAAGTGATGACAGCACCTTCCACTTAAAGGGAAGCTGAAACACTTCTTGAAAAAAACGAGTTAGAGGTGAATTCTGGCGTATTTTTATCCCGTGAATCTGAATATCACTTTTGTTTTCCCTGAAGATGCAACTAAAAGCGAGGAAAAGCGAAAAAACATTCGACCAGTCGTGACGTCATACTAGGATCTTCGGGCCGCCAAGCGCGTGTCGCTCGTGTGTTCAGCGCGTGCAACGGCAAGCTTGCCAGGTATATTTCCCCGCACTGACACCAGTCGTGACGTCTCTTTCTGACCTTTCTGAAAATAGCAAGAGTGCGCGTGCATAGCTTTGACAGGCGCTGAAGATGCGCGAGAGCAGATATTCCGAACGCTCCTAGTGTGACGTCACGCCCCGGGAAGGAGGGGCTTCGGCGGTACTTTAAAAATTAATTTCTGAAGCCTCCGTGCACCAAATTGAAAAATAATCTTGATATTCCCGATCCTGGAGGTAGAATAAAGGCCATTGAAATTTTTTTTCTCAAATAGAGAACCGCTTCAGTTTCCCTTTAAGATGGCATTGCTACTTTGGCAGTCTTCGTTAGCACCGTTTGCCTCTCTGAAGGTGGTTTATCTGTCGAGGAATGCCTGCTACCAAAGTTAGCTTGCCCAGAAAAGCGGCAAGCTGGAAGCTATTGCCAGGGGAACAATGAAGCCTCAAGGAGGACGGTGCTACCAATGCTCGAGGTAGATATAGACTAGTTGGGACCCGTCAAAATATAAAAAAAAACCTAAAGTTAAAGGCATTTTTCTGTTTCACTTTTTGGCAGGCAATGTTGCAAGAGGAAAACAATAATTTGGTTGTTCCTGCATTATTGGAATTTAACTTAAAAAAAAAAAATCTGTGGATTGCAATTCTTATTTTTCTCTAATAGGTTTCCTAGTTGAAGGCCCTTCTCCCTAGAGCCCAGTAAGCGTATGATAATGTAGGATTGTCCTACGAGGCTGAAAGTGCATGTTGCCGCTCCTCGTGGTGCGACCCTGCAAATTTCAGCGAGTCAATGGTTTCAACAGCTGACCTTCCCATACCCCCTTAATTTATTTCCATCCTAAAAATTTTGGGCATTACTCGTTTTTTTTTTGTGCATATTGGAGCAGACCAAAAAAGAGTAGAGGCTTAATTATGCTGACAAAGACCAGGGAACACAGAACGCGTCCCACCCAAACCACATTCTGTGCGTGGTTCGTGCTAATTGACTTTTTCGCTTTATTTTCTAAATTTTTAGTTGAATTGTTTTTATTTGATTGTTTATTTATTTTTATTTGATTTTATTCCTTATTTATCTTTATTTTATGTATTTATTTTATCAAAAACCTGCCGCTCTTGACCGAATGTTTGCCTTCAAATAAAATCATTTACCCTTCCAGACAAGCTGTGCTAGTAAGTAGCTCAGTGGCTATTGGCGATTTTTATCATGTGCTTTTTAACCGACTTTCACGGCTTCCATCCTTAGACCACCAGGCGCTGTGAATATCCGATTCGCTCGAGAAGGCTGGCAAGTAAACCTGCCGCCATGGCTTTCGGTCCTTGCCGCCAGGTGCCGTCGACTTCGGGGGAGTCGCCAGTAGTATCTGACTGCAACTGCACCGACTAAGGCTCGAGCCCCGCTGGTGCTGGAACTTTATATGCTGCCGCATGCATGGCAGAGAGGGAACGCTACTCCATACTTCTAAAGATTTGCATTTACTTTTACCTCAAATGTTTGACACTCGAACGTTCTAGGGCAAATGTTCGAGAAACCGAGGGTTGTAGATAATGAGCTCAGCGTGGCCTTGCTGACTCTCTCGCGCTATCTGTTTTGTTTTGTTTCTGGCACAAGTTTGTCGATTAAACATTTATTTTTAGATTTACCCTTGTCAAACCTTTTTCGTCCGCGACAATGTAACCTCAAAATCTGCAACGCTCCCAGCATGTCACTCGTTCGTGACGTTTGCTACGACACTCCTCTAATACAATCTTCTCACAGAAAACAACTCGTAAAACTCATTCTGTTAAAATTATTTGTCTTCACATCCAATGCTCCTCTCAGCAGAAGTGCTTATTAAAAAAAACTGAGAAGTAACACTTCTAGCAAACCTGCTAATTGGATATCTTGACAATCGTTAATGAAGTAAACAAGATAAGACATTTCCAATAAACCTAGCTACTAACTAGAGGTTTGTCAAAATAAATCCGGACTTTTTCCAGAAACTAACTGGCCATATTGCGCTTCTGAGGCACGTGATTCGACAGCGAACCATCGCACGACAGACAATTTGCGACTTGCTGAAAAATGAGCAGGAAATACGACCAGAGGGCAGCAATACTTGAATCGCTTCGCGCCGGAAAGTCGCCTAAGCAAATCATTGCGTGCAATGGCAATAAGAAGACACAGGTTTACAGCATTTCCAAGACGTTCAGACAATCTGTGAGCCAGGAACGCATTACGGCAGACCGAGCGAAGCACAAAAAACGGTCAATATTAATTTTATCTCTGCCTCAGAGTGCTTTCCATCGTCTGTCACAAATGACAGACAATGAGGCAGAAGAAAACGGAATGAACTAAGGATTTAATGGGGGCAAACTTGTGCCACAAACGATGAAGAGAAGAACACACGTCGGGAAAGGCAGCAGCGAGCATCACCGGCAAGCGACGGTGCTTTGGCGTAACAGCGTAACAATTGGCAATACGGCGCTGGGCTCTTTATCTACTATGCTCGTCATCTTAAATATTTGACCTAGAATGTTCGGGAAAGAGCTATGGCTGACTGGGTAAGGTCCTTCAGGCCTCCTTATCGTTTACGCTCAAGGTAAGAGTGTATGCGAACCTTCTAGATAAACGGAGAAGCGCATCTTCTCAATCATGCACACGGCAATATGGTGAATTGTCCGGTTTTATCTTGACGACCCTATAGATGTGTCCAGCAAATATTTGTTGATGTTACCCAAGAGCTACATTACATCGCAACACAAAAAAATAAAAGCCCATGAACCATTTCATACACAGAAATACCAAACAAAGTAAAAAAAGATCCACATATTCTAGACAGTTCCAACATGACCAAGCTTTTAAAATAATTTGAGGGAATAGAAAGGTCGACTGCAGGTGATAAAAAATATTAAGCAAGCCTTCCACTTGGGTGAGAGCTTGGAAGAAAGAATTACAATAAAGCACTCCTTTCACTGTCTAAGACTTTATTTGGCTTCCAGCAAACATTGTACACAACCTCAAGCAGCTGTGACGCCCGACCTCCCCAGGCCCACTCCGTAACTGACAATAAACACGTCCCAAAGCGTCCTAAGGTGGGAGGCGGCCGTGCTAAACCTTGTATAGAAATAACACAGTTAGTGTATCACACATGTAGCTATTCGTATTGCCTAAAAAATAGCACTGCGTAGGAACACATGAAAGAACACTGGTGTCTTGGCTACGAGCTAAAAATACAACATGCACAACGTGTCACTTTTGACGTCTCCAACTACAATGTGCTCAACTGTTAAGCGTAACACGCGAGCAGTAACCGAAACTGATATCACCGCCGCCTAACGAAAAGAGCGATGATGCCGCAGAGAATAAAGCTTTTTAAATATTTTTTTTACATCCTGCTTAGCATTGGATTACAACTGCGTTGCTGCTATCATCCTTGATATGACAGAGCAAATAACAGCAGAAGATGACGCTGATATACGCCGTACTGAAGGTATGCAAGGCTCATCAGAATTTGATTGTAGAACATTTAAGCGAGCACCAGCTATCGCTTTCATCCTGGGAGTGCGACACTAGAAAAGAACAGCAGCGTGGGCTGCCAGATTGTGCCAGCAGATGACGCAGGTAGTCTCTCCAGCTGATGCTCGCACGTTATATTAACGGTTGAACACATAACTAGATTTCTGGAAGTTAGCCACAGTCCTCTTATAAACAGGAACAGATGTAAATAATGCCCTGGGTAAAAGAAAGGAAATTAAACAAGATGCAAACTGCAAAAACTCAACAGAGGGCAATAATAAAAGGTACAATGACTAGGCTATTATAAAATAAAAATGCTATATCACTGGAGAGCGTCTAGGTTAAAAAATCGGCAATAAAAATACAAGATCAACGTCCTCATTGGAGAATCAGGAGACTGCAGCATCCAATCAGAGGAATTCATTCATCCTGATATATTCTTGTTTGAACCAGAACCTATGAACTCTAAAGTTATGATGATAATAATAATAATAATAAAAATTATGCACGTCAGTGCAACCAGCATTTCAAGTAAGGAAACATCCTTAAAATACACATGACACTTCTTTTTAGAGATGAGTAACATTAAATTTTGAGATAATTCTTTGGGTGGATGGAGCACACACACACAGATACAGTACACAAATGATAAAATCCCCAAGAAAGATACCCATCTACAACATTTTGAAAGACTATTGGAAGTCTTTAAAATAGGCTCCATCCGGCACAACTACTCTACTGATACTACAATTTATTTAGTAATGTGCCGATACTTTTACGAAAGAACACAATACCGGCCTTTGCACAAGAACAAGAAAGCAAAAACCATCACCAACATACAACAGCCTCGAAGTTAAAGGTTGCACGCCTTTTATCATTAAAGCTCCAATTTACTTTTCTAAAGAAGTGCTGTAGCACCTCTTAAAAAAAAAAGAAACAGATGCAGGAACATGGTATCAGTAACATAAAGGTATTCAGTGCATTTTCATCTTATAATATACTTCTGCGTAGCAAAGCCTCCCAAATCAGTCACTTCCAACATATCACTTGTGGCACTGAGCTCAAAACAAGTGTACGGCAAAACACTGAAGAATCAATATTATTTCAATGATTTATCCTATAACGAAAAAAAACAAACACACATGACAAATATATGCAATGCTTGAAGCAGTCTCAGGTAAATTATTAAAGCCTCAATAAATTAGGAAAGTAATTTTCAGGATGGCTGACGATTCCTCCCCAGCCTTTTCGTTTTCTTCTGAAATCCTTCTTGCAAGAGTGTCTCAATTCCCACAGAAAAAGGAAAAGATTTTTTCAATCTAGGGATGGGAAGGAGAATAGTTTCCTTTTTAGTTGTCCCGAGTAAAAAGAAACAAAAAACGTAACAGTATAGAAGTAAATTTGGGAGGTCTTGTTACACACAACATGCACAAGAGCTCCTCTACACTTGTCACCAACGGTGAAGTCAACAATCAGATCTTACAACAGTAGCTGCCCACGAAAGGCACTGCACAAAGAAAACTTCACCCACATCACACCACAATATTTAGGGAGAATTAAACCCCAAATATATCTCTTTTGTCAAAAGCTTAAAGGCCGACGACCAGACACGGGATTCTGCAAGGCAGAAGATCCTCCTCACCCTGGGAGAGGAGGAAACAGGCAACAGTGGACAGGACAGAAGGGGGGAGAGGAGGAAGCGGGGGGAAAAGCGTAAAGCGCAAACTGGTCGTCGGTCTTTAAACTCGGAGTACAAACTCTGAAAACATCTAACTCTACATAAACGACCTAATAAAGTGGTCAGTGGTTGACAATATACGTGACAACAATACTCTAGGAGAATAAGATGTTTCAGTGACATTAGAGCAGCAATTTATTCTCAGCTATAAAAGCCGTCCTTCTAATGTAAAAGGGGTAAGGTTTGGCATAGTACTAGTGTTCTGCTATTTTTTTTTTCCACACGACCTTGTGTTTTTTCACATCCAAAACTGCTTCACCAGTACAAAAAAAAAAAAAACTCAGTGGTGTAGCACATGTCTCAAAGTAACCGGAGTCAAAATGGCAAAAGAAGTTTGACACACGCTTTTATAACCCCACAATTCATATGCAGCTTCGAAAAGAATTTGTGCAATCTCGAGCTCATTAACAATGAAGGTCACACCAGAGTTCAAAGATAAGCACATTGCACAATGGGAGACTGAATCTAGCATACAAATATTTACACTGGCTGCAGGTTTCGGAGTTTCGGGTGACAATAACTAACCTTCTGAATGGGTGGCTGGGTAACGCTATGACACAATCGCTCGTCCAACAATCCTAAAACTTATGCGGCTTACTGCCAGATTGCCTCCACAAGAGGACAAGGTTGTACCGCCTTGCCGTGGCTGTCAATCCCATGTCACGCTACAAATTTGCCTGCTTCCCCACAAAACCCAACACAGGAGTCCACTTGGGTGGAGTGTGTCAACACGTTGAAAAAAAGAACTTAGAACCGAACGTCGGCCAAACTCCAAGCAACCGAGATCTCGTCGAGGGTAAAACGGAAATAGTTCAGTCAAACAATTTATCAAACAACGGGTGCCAACACTGAACGAAATGCAGCGCGAGAAGACACTCTCTTTTTTCGTTCGCTTTGCCCCCAACGTCCGCGTTCTATCGCCTTCCGCGAAGCCTTTGTCAGTCAAGCTGCTTCAGAAACTTCTACATGGGAGCTCCTAGAGCCACTAGGTCCAAACTGCACTTAGAGTACCAGCACTTCATTCTTCGATTTTCTCGTGGGCACCAAACACCCCGAGTGTTTGGTGCGGAACAGGCGCAGCCAACATTCGTAACGATCCAAAAATGTGATTTCCTGAGCTGTGGATACGGTGTCACGAAGCTCGGGTGAAACTGTATCACTCTGTTGCGGACTGTTTTAACATTTCTCGAGAACAAAAAATGGTTTCCAGCAATTTCGGATGAAGCTTCAAACGACTGGCAACAATGACCTTGTGCACCGGGACGGCTGAAATGTCAATGGTCTGAGGCGCGTTTAGTGGCTCTAGGGGCTCCAATGCTACAGAATTGAGAAGAGCTCTGAACCGGCGAGAAACCCGGGTATAGTTGGGGAGAGGCGGAAAAGCTTAGATGCCGTAGGCGACGTCATCGACGTCTTCGGTGATGGACTGTTCAACGAGGAGTGGACGCTTGCCGGCCATCTCGCGGAGATAGCGGTCAGAGGTGGCCAACATGTTGAGGAGGGGGCGCAGGTCGAGCCACCACTGCTTTTTCGACAGGCGGCTCCTGCAACGGCAATCCCACGACCGTAAGGCGGAGCGACCAACACCGGGTACATCTACGATTCTGAATTTTTTACCATACTCATCGTCCCCTCAAGAAAAGCTTAAGTATGTCTCAATCATATCTGATGAACTCGCAGACGCATGAAATGTCTTGCGAATGTGATGGGCACATGCTGTGCGAGGGTTTGACGTCGTGTAACACTATCGTGAGGTCATGTAGCATCATGATGTCATGTGACCTGTGTATCAGTCAAGCGCTACACGTTGGTTTTCTGTTAACAGCAAAATTCGAGTGTAGTTCATATGTTGCATAAAGTGTTCTTGCAAGGTTTGGTTGTCAGAGTAAAAAATGACGCCTTTTCAATTTGAAACATGTACCGTTATAATGAAACAACAAATTGAATGAAAATGCACATCTTAATTCACCACAGAAACAGGATAATAGCTAATGCTCCGTGAAGAGCCCATCTTTTTTTATTATGGTTTTTGAGGTTAAGACGACTATAGGTAGCCTTTGCTTATTGAAGTGTGGCCCATTAGTGAACAATTCAAATGTTCTATCAGATCTGCTTGTCACATTGGCAAAACAGGAAACCCCTTTATAACAAAAGCAATAAAACTGAATCTGAGCCTCTACCGAGATTGCAAGTACATAGTGTTTGTTTAGATTAAAGAGAAACTATGGAAATCTTTTTGTACTGGCAGTAAAATTAATTATTTGAAGTAAATGCAGGGTGACCTCTTTGCATTTATAAATAAGCAATCCTCCTCTTTCTTCTATCTTAAAAACCGGTCGTGTCGGAGTCCGTTGCAGAAGTGCGAACCAGCCTTAACTGAAAACTCGTGCTTGCACACAGTTTGGCAGTTCTTTCAGTTCTTTCTGTTCATAAATGTCTCGTCATGTCCACAATTTACACGCTCTCTTTTCCCAGTCATTTCTTAACTCTTTCGAAAATGTTCGCCGAGAAACCTGATTTTGTGCAAAGGCAGTTGCCACGAATCTTTCATAGTGGCAGTGACAAGAGTGCATGTGCAGAGGGCAGAGCTTAGAGGGCAGAGCTTAGAGGGCAGAGCTTAGAGGGCAAAGCTTAGAGGGCAGAGCTTAGAGGGCAGCAATATGTTGTAGTTGGGCTGCACTTGTCGTCATAAAACCAACCACGTCTATACTCAGCAGCACCGGCCTTGTCCACTATCACAGGTCAGAATCCCAACAAATTCCAGGAAAAAAAGCTGAAATTTTTAAGAGTGGTATTATGGTATATGGTATTATTTAAAGTCACTGTTGTCTGCATTGGGATTGGATACCGCCCACAATTTTTGAATAACCTAATACTAGGAGGTTATAAATGCCATGGTTAACAATAAATGTTAACCGTAACATTTATAGGCTTGGAATCCCCTTTACTTGTTCAGTGCTTGAATTCAGTTTAAATAACTACCTTTATCATATTGGGAGCCTAGAGGACAAATGGATATAGTGCTAAGTTACTACCTCTATTAATGTAACCCAACAAACCAAGAGGTTTGTGTTGCTTATAGGGCATAAAATTAAAATAAAATATAATACTCTTGACAGACATGCAGCTTAATGTGGACACGTACCAAAGTACAAAGACTGAGAATGACAATGTTCCGTATAAGTACTATCAAGCGAAGAAAAATGCATCAAAAAGGCATACATATTGAAACAAGCAAGGTTGCATTTATGTAAACAACAAAATCTTTTTCTTTTAGCAAATTTTAGAATGTTAGAAATAAGAAAAAGTGGTATACACAGCATGCAGCTACAAGAAAAATGTTTTGACTATCAGCTAATATTTTATATAGATAATCCTGCTCAACAGGTTTTAGGGGGTTGAAACTTGCATGTCAACACACTCCTCTAAGTAAACTGTTTCATATCTACAAACGAAATCCTTAGAAATTAAATTTTAAAATATCGTCAGGCAAAAGATTTTAAACCTTTAAAGAAGCTTTATTTTATTATTATTGAGAAAAAATTTTGCCATGTATTTACCCCCGATACAAGCTATGTATGTAAGGAAAAAAAAAAGTACACTAGTTGCAAAATTGCATAAAAAAGAGGTAACACTCAGAATTCAACATGCAAGCAAAGCTGAACTAAAGACACACAGTCAATAACATTCCCATTTGAAGAGCCATAGTTCTGACAATATACCTTAATTAACAACAAAATATGGATTGCAAAATGAATTACACTTGCAAAAACAAAAATCACAGACATCATGGCAAACAAAAACAGTCAACATTAAAAAAAAAACAAAAAAAAAGGTCTCACCTAATGACAACATCTTGGTCTTGCTGTCGCCATCAAATCGCAGGACTAGCAAAAAGTTTCTTTTGGCGATGGCCGGAATGCCGACCTTTCAGGTCACAAGCAAATGCACGATGCACGACTCTCCTTTGCAAAACTAAACCGAGTCTACCCATAGTCAAAACCAAAACCTTTGGTATGGGCAGCAACTAAATCCAATTTTGTAAGAATGTCACAATTCAAGCATAGCAGTGCAAAGCAAGCAGCAGAGGCAAACTATAAAAACGAAAAGCATGCAAAAGATGACATCACAGGCATATGGAAGGCATCAAACATGCAAGAGTCTGACAAAACAAGCACAATACTAAGTGTCTAAACAAGAAACAAATTCCATTTTATTATGACAGAACCACTCTGTAGTGAAGTCCAGTTTATCGAGAAACAATCTTTGCTGTATAGACACCTTTAATATTGATACCAATAATATCACTAGTATATATCAGTTTTCACAATGGAGAGCTTCCACCGTGCTCCTTAAAAGGTATGTCTTGGCATGGAAAAATGCGATTCCAAGATGTTTGTAGTGGTACTGTATACTAAGACTTTGAAACGGAGCTTTGCACAAGTATCGGAGAAGAAATAAAATTCTCTGTCGATAATACAGTATAAAATCGCTACAATGGACCTTGAGAGTGATGAATACTTTGGTCTGTTGTAAAAGGAGTATGATATGCAGAACGCAGATATTCTTACTACAAACTTTGACATGGGTTATGACTGGAATCTGTGCTAGCCAGTGAGACTGATAAAATTTGACCATGTATTTGTTTCTGTATATTGACATTAATGTACCATTCCTTCAACGGTTCTGAACAAGGACCAGTAGTATAAATTAAAGTACTGTAAACGTCTTAATTTTCACAAGGACCTCATTTTTGCGAATTCCGCGAATCACCTACAATTCGCGAAAAATAGGTCCCGCAAACAATTCCGATAAAACGTAAATACATTGGAATCTATATTGAGATCCCACCCCGTCGCGAAAATTAGAACCCGCAAACTATTCCAAAACTTCAGCTTTGACCTAAATCGCGAAATATTGAGCCCGCGAAAAATAAGTCGTTTACAGTAAAGAAATAATGAGAAAGAATAATTGGGAACGAACTGATTCATTGAAAGTTTTGAACTTTGAAAGAATGTAGTGATGCTTTATTGAGCTGTACTGATGATCGTCATCCCTGCACGCTTTGGGTCATAAAAGGCTTATGAGGCGCCAAGCGCAATGACAGCAGTTGGCAAATTAGTTGCCACCGGTACCAAACCAAAGTCGCGTAATGTCAGAAATAATGACTGCTGTTGAAGGGTCCACCATAATGAAATGGTGAACTACTTACAAACATTCTTATATAGTCCATTATATCCAAATGTATGTTATAACAGAATATGTAATAAGCGAGGTTGGCTCAACGCCATAGATAGAAAGACCAACCAAACTTCAGAAATCGGTATGTTATAACCGAATGTCTGTTGTAACCAGATCTGTTGTAACGAGGATATACTGTATATGCACCAGCTCGCAACCACACGACTCGCCACAACCTTTTGTCAGCATACGTTTTCAAGCTTTAGCATGGAACGCTCCAATTTGTCTGAGCTTGTTTTGCCTCGGTGGCAGAATTAGCACCACCATTTCTGACCAAAACATAGTAGTTTCAGCAGCACAGAGCATCGCAAGAATTCAATGAATTCATTTGAAATCAATCATGCGACTGACGGACCTCCAACTTACAATAGCACGATTCTCACTGCTGAGCGTTCAAGCTAATTTGAAGATTTAGTTTGTCACCATATAATAAAAAAAATCGGTATATCTTAATAACAGTGCCAGTGTTCTGAAAGAATCACCGTGTCATGTTCAAGTGAAGAATACTGGTTTTTGTACTGCTGTTTGAAACTTTTAAAGGGCAACTCCACTAAATTTTTGTTAGTGAGAAAACAATTCAGTTCTTTTTAGGGCGTTTCCACATCAGACCATACAATCAATGAGCCAAGTTACAGTTATTTATATTTACATAAAAAATGTATATGAGAGCCATGTTCTTGGGAGAAGCATTCAGCTATATGTGATTGTCGTAGCTAATTTTCTTCCAGAGATATAAAATTTCGAAGCTTGAAGTGAGGACCCGGACAATCGTTGTATGATCTGTTGTGGAAACATTATCTGGGGAGACCACAAGTCAAATATAATATTTATTGTGATCGAACTGCGTATTAACTGCCCAGCAAAAGCAAACACCAAACTAATAAAATCTACTAATATAGCGGACCATACGTGTGGTGCAGCCAATGCTGCACTGCCTACGTCATATACGCTGCAACGTTTGGTGTGCTTTTTGACTTCCCTACATGAGATGCCAGCAGAGCAAATATTGCTGCCTGCAACGCTGGCATCCAACTTGATGCAATAAAGACAACTCCTGCACCGTGACCATCAGTGTAGGAGACCACTAGACTCTTTGTACCACGTAGGTGTGCCGTGTATAGTTAACAATTCCCTAGATACGAGGCCTTCACCCCGTTCTCTCTCCCTAGCACAAAACGCCACGCTAGTTGTAAGGACACTGCTGGCTATTGGCCACGCCCCAACAAGGTCGCACAAATACGATACAAAATATGAGAGGGGGAACGAATCAACGGCCACGCTTCCTGTTGTCAAACCATTAGTATGACGTTCTCGGTTCAGACGTTCGCACAATCCACTGTGTTTCTTCGACACGGAATGTGTTTTAGGAATGGTTTCCGAGCCTAGAGCATCATGAGATGTGGTTACGAAAATAGAATAACACGGCCAGTTACCTTCGTGCAAAAATGTGTCCCCCGGTGGGAACTAAATCGCTCACCTTACCCTATCCCTCGTGGTAGTGAAGCGGCTCTGGTTATTACGGTTGCAGCTGCTAGGCGCTCGAGGTTGCTGTTTACGTGACCACGTAAACTTTGAACTTGCCTCGACGCTTCGCAAAAAGTCGACGACGCCGCTCCCTCGGCACCAGAACGAATCTAAACGTATCTTACGGGACGGCTCAGAAACTCGCCGCACACTCCTGTCTCTCCCGACTTTATCCGGGGGACTAACGTACGTTCTGATCTTTTTTATGTGCACGCTACCTCCAAACACATTGAGGCGGCTAACTCGAGCCGTTCTCGAGATTTGGCCGACCTCACGCCATGGCACCTGGAACGAGTCTTCAAATGGTGCGTTTATCGTCCCGCACCGCCCGCGTGTCAAAAGTGGTCTCAAAGTGGCAAGGGATGGTGCAACGGGAGCCAGAGTGTCCTGCCGTTGGACGCAGCGATCCCGATCCCGGTGATTTGATCGTAGAAGCTCCGGCAGAAAGTATGAGCAAACGCGAGAGTCGCCGCCGTCGCGGCATCCCGACTCCCGGCTGCCAGGGCCTTTGTCGACCGTCGGGCTGCAGCGCAACGAGCGTCTGCGACGTCCGCTTTTGCTGCCGCGGCACCGCCGGGATCGCAGCCGGCGACGGCACGACACTTTTGTGCCGTCATCGGAGAGGAATTGAGAAACCGTATTTGGAGAACTGGCAAACAATCAGTCGGAGGCACGTTACGGGCACCGCAGTTATGCGGAGAGCGAGTCGCCCGCTTCTTGCACAGGAGTCAGAACAACGCCGGGCTCTGATTGGCTTTGATCATTGGGTAAACCCAATGCTAGATGCCTCAGGTCTACCCACTATTTTTTTTTCCACCAGCCAATAAGAGAGCTTGGTGTTGCGACGTCATCGCAACTGCCCTGCGGGAAGCAGACGAACTTGCGCTCCGCATGCCGGCCGGTTCCAACGGTAGGAAAGCAGGAGTCGGCGACCGCCACTCACTTCCAGTCGGTGCGGGTCTTGAGGTCCTGGACGGGCGTGAACTGGTACTGGCGGCGCACCAGGCCGAGCAGCGTCGCAGTCTCAGGGGTGTGTGCGTTCACCGAGCCGTCGGGTTGCACGTAGGCCTTGAGCTGCGTCAACAGCCACTCAGACGCCTTGGCGGCCATCTTGGTGCCGAAGTTGCGGTCAAACGGAGAGGGGCTGCCACCCTGCGACCGAACCCGATGCGGCGGTTACGAAGGTTGCATCGCTTGGAGTTGCGAGTCTTGCTCGCGCATTGGAGATTGACCAATCGGGGTTGATCGGCGGAATTTTCAAACTTCCCATTTAAGAAGAGGTAAATGAAATTAATATTTGTATGTTTGTTGGTCGTTATGCATTCAAGACAGGCTTCGTTGAATTGGAAACTACCGAAACAGGCAAGATACGTATGGCGCAGTTGGCAATGCTGCCTCACAATGGACAGTGGATCGAAAGTTTTATGGCAATCAATCGCTGAAGTACAGCTCAGCTGTACTTCAGCTGAATGCGCAGGCATGAGCCATTGACGGCCTGCACTCCGTGCGTCTGTGTGTTTGAGTTTTCTGGCTGTCGGAGAAACCTCACTGCGCTTACTAACTTGTTTGAATTCAGCTTCTTTCCTTGCTCTATTAACAATTGGAACTCATTACCACTCAAGCTCTTTGTTGAACTTAACTTTGTTCAAGAAGTAGAACGTCTTGCTGAACGTGGTTTCATTGGTAAATTCTTTCCTTTTATGTTAGGCCATTTCGCGACATAACAATTGATGGTTAACCATTTTCCCCATTTATTTATTTTTTTAATTTTTTATGTTTGTTTATTTGAATTTTTTTTATATTTTTTCAATTAGGCATATATAGTCGTGCTTTTCTATGCTGTTTTGTTATCGTTCTCGATTTGTACCCCACTCCTACTTGGACCCATCTAAATCTGTAGTATTAACTAGGTAAACAAAAAAAACAAAAAACATGGCACAACAATATGTGGATGAGAGAAAAAAAAATGCTGCAAAGATTGCGTTTTACTCGCTATACACCTTTTCCGTCTAACCTCGACCCAGCGCATAACGTGCGTAGCCTCGACTCGGCGCACAGCGGGAATAGTTCTTCCGGTTCTAACACTTCCGGTATGCGGGAGCAGGCCTAGCCGGCTGGCAAGATGCTGAAGTGGTGCGCGTTAAATGGGTTTTGAAGCTCTTGAGAGTGAAGTGAGTTGTAATAAGGTGGGTTAATACGTCGATGTATCATGTCCGCGCATATTTGGTCATCGGGCTGCCACTGCGCAGTCGTTGGCTGCAGCAGCAATTTCCGAAAACGGAAGATAGCGCGCGACAAATTGTGCATTGAACACAAGAAGTCGCAAAGCGAATGCGGCTGTAACGTATACATTTTGCATCGCTTCCCCGCTGATATCAGCGGGGAAGCGATGCAATATCAGCACATAAAAAAAAGCTAAAAGAAATAGAAACGGATATCTACAAGTGCAGTAATAGGCCTCGATAAGTCAAATGTAGAAAGAATTTTGCAGCTTGTGGTGCAAATGTAAGACCCTGGGTGTAATGATTGTTATTGGCTACTCATGTTTTGTTTTTCATTCCGTTCATTCCTACGAGGATGTGCACTATAATTTTGTGTGTTGCTCGGTAGCGACGCCCGTTAATGTACTTTAATGGAAACAATACGAAAAGAGGGTGCAAAATCGTCGTCGTCCTCCCCCCCCCCCCCCCCTTTCACCCCCATCTCCTGAATAGTTCCGACGCATCTGGGCGTCATACGAAGTAGAGATGTCCCGGTAACTAGCGATCGTACCTCGACGGTGCACCATAACAATAAACCGCGCGGCCCGCGTCGCCAACTCCCCATTATGAGTATTTCTACGATTAAACGATACTTCTATGCCCAGGGTCGCCTTCACTCGCGCATAGAAACCCTCCGTTAGTCATTCGCAGAAGGCTGTCATTCTTCACAAACAACAACACGCGAAGAGTAAACACTGGTAAACGTCCTCAGGAAAAGTGAACATGCCTCAGATTTCAATTACCGGCGACGCTGGCGACGAACCTCTCGGCGCTGTTGGCACAACAACGGGTGCCATGAAAGCGAATAAACACGCCAGAACACAAGAATAATTCACACTTTCAATAACAAATTAAGAACTCACTAAAGGGAAAACAATGAAGATACGATGCACGGGGTCAATGGGGACAACGCGGGAGCTAGGAACAACGCTGCTCTCCGCATACCAAAATGGGCGCACAACAACCGTACGCCAGACGGCGCGGCTGTCGCTGCAACACGCAAGATGGCGACGACTACGCGGAAAAGGTGTATATGTTGGTCTCGAAGAGAACGTCTGTGACAAAATACACTTACTATCCCAAAACTTCTGTAAAAACACCAGTTTCTTCATTCTTTTTGCAGTCTTAAAACATGCAAATTACAGAACGCTTCAAATTTTCTGAAGAGTCTTTTTAGAGGAAGCCCACTAATTATATAGCGAGACAGAATTGAAAACAAACTCCTTCTCATCATAGATACACTTTGCATTTGGCAATGCCTAAAAGATCCCAAAGGGTAATTTTCAGTTCTCGTATAGTAGCGAATGCTCGCAGACGGTATTTTCCTCTGGGCTGACAAAGTTTTATGTCGGCACCCGTGGAAACAAGAGCAATACAGAGATGTCATGACTTGTTCATAAAGTTTTTTTTAAGTATTCTTACCTACTAAAAGCATCCTAAACACTTCCCATCCTACCATACCAGTAGCTTTAATGACATAAAAGTGGGTGATCAAGCATGCAAGCTAACTGCGTCGCGCTCGGTGCATAGAACTTTTTCTGCCGGTTTCAAAGCATCAAACGGTGAAGTCAGATACCTGTTGCATGTGTCCGAGGATGTTCATGCGGGTAGAGAAGACATCCTTGCCCTCCTCGGAGTACAGGCGGTGGATGAAGTCTGTTGTGTAGTTCTCATTGGCCTTCTCGTTCCTACGAAGAGAGAGGGTGAAAGAAAGGACGAGGAATGACCTCGTTAGCCCCATATCTCTCAGAATGAATGCATGCCCCAAAGCACACTTAATATGTTATACAACAAGCTGCGTGGGCATATTTTGTTTTGTCATGACTCAATGGCATAGAAAGTCGCATCTTTGCCATTCAACAAAATCAACCTGCTGAAAAAAGTTCCCACCTGTCCTTACAGCGTCATGCAAATCACGAAGGTACTCGGGGCTGGTAAAAAGAACCTGATAGGAACCTTTTCAAGTTCTTCCTATCAGGTTCTTCCTTTGACGAGAGATTCAAATGCCAGCTTCCATTCTGCGGCTTCCTGGAGCCTTATTACATTGCTTTGTCTTAGTAAAGCAATTGCTTTACCAAGACACCGTTTTTCCTGGAATATTAGGGGTGTGCCCTTCATAAGAACAAAAACATTGAGGCCAAGTTATCTCCCGCTGACAATACACTGAGTGAAAAATAGAGTAAAGGCCAGTTTACATGTAGAGCACAATGCTAACCCAGTGCTGAAAATAGTGTCGACTTTAGCACTGATGCAGCAAAAGTAAGCGGCTTCAGTGGCACCGTCTCATATTTTGTATCCAAGGCATTGCAGGGACGCGTCGCAGCGCTCACGATTCCAGTGACTTATCCCAGTTTCAGAACAACACGTTCTACGGTGTGCACAAAAACACCCGTTTCAGAACAACACGTTCAACAGTGTGCGCAAAATACAGAGTCGAAGCACTGAGCTTGCCTCAATACATTAAATCTAGGGTGCCTCAATGTCCTTCTGTTTAGGATGATGCCATCGTTTGTAGTACCCGAGGCCGACAGCATGCGCTCGTAGGGAAAATAGAAAGGAATCGCAGGAAACAAAATGTCGCCGTAGCACAGTCAGCGCCACGAGCGCATGCAGGGACACGCTCTTTCACGCGCTTCAGAACAAAAAGAAAAATAAGCGTTAGACACAAAATGGCCAGATGTCATCACCCCAAGCAAAGCGCACATGAAGGCACCCTAATTAAATCCTGCCCTTCTCAGAGTGAAGCCATCTCACTGCGACAGCAGGCAGAACATGACTCGGTGCCAAGAGCGCTTCTTTCGCCAACGTCGGAGCTCACGAAAACGATCTCGCTGCGTCAAGGCATTCGCGGCATCACGAGCTGTGAGGAGGAAGCCTCAGGGGAGAGAGAAGATATGCCATTAATGAGCGCAAAATTTGGTACTAAACTTAGTGCTGTCTAAGTGCTATGCTGCATGTTTGAACCGGCCTTTATGAATCTGGCGTCGGGGCTGCCCACCTGAGCACGAGGCCCCTCTGGACTCCCTCGGACATCTTGACCTTCATGTGCAGCACGTCCGCCATTAGGTCCTTGATGCCAAAGTCCTCCTCGTAGATGTAAGCCGAGTCTGCGCCCCCGGCCAGGCCTGCCAAAGTGGCCAGGTAGCCACAGTAGCCCCCCATCGTCTCCACCACAAACACCCGACGCTTGGTGCCCTGTGCCGACTGCCGGATGCGGTCGCAGATCTGCGAGACGAGCCGAGTCAAGCCACGTGAGAGCCAAGCTGCACGAGAGCCGGTCTTTAAAAAAAAACACTGAACTCCATTTTTTTTTTTTTTTTTTAATGCCTCTTATGTCGGGTTGTTTTCTTAAAGTTTATTTTGTGACAGACAACCCATATGTTGCTATCCAGGCAGTGAACAAAAAGGCTTTGTAGGTGTTCAGTGTACCTTTTGGGAACTTAAATGGTGCGTTGAAAACATGAGGCATTGTACAGCTATGCGATTGGTCAGAGTGATTTTGGAGCACCTTTTGGAGCAGCCAAAAGTGCAATTTGGAGCTGCAAGAAGTACTTTTGGAGCGTAATAACACATTTCATTTTTATTGATACCAGTTTGAATATCACGTTAAGAATTATGTGTTTAAGTCTGCTTTGCCTTCCCGTTTCTGTGAAACCTTTTGATGGCATCATCAGCATGGCAGGCCTAAGGGTCTAGCTAGCTGTTCAATTGCGCATAAAAGCACAGTAACTAGATGCTGATTGATGAAGGGCATATGAAAACATAAACCAAATAAATATATTCCACTGAAATAATTTTGAAATATAATAATGTTAAGCGCCCATTTTTAAATGTTTTTTTAATGTTTTAAATGTAGTAATAAAGCTGCAGTTCTTAGTTTAGGTAGAAAACAAAGTGTTTGTCATTTGATTATGAACATCAGTGACATTTCATAAGCAAAACTTCTCGCTAAAAAAAATCAACATGTAAACAATAAATATGCGTTGCCCAACCCCGGACATTCTTTGCCTATTGGATGCATTGATGTCAACAAACACACTGTCGTCTGTAGTCCACTTCTGGACAGTGAGTGAAAGTGGTTAGGCCTAAGAACGGTTGCGTTGTTCTTCGTGCTGAGTGAGCTTCGTAACGCGCTTTTTCTTCAGCTAAAGGCACGCCAAAAGCGCCCTAAAAAAGTTTTGCAATTTATAGGGCATGATTACTGTGGCACGCCCACGACCAGCCATGTGCGTGCCTCCATCAGTGGAGACGTGCCACAGTACCCTGCCATGTCATATTGGCACCTAAAGTGACATTTGCGCAAAGTGTGTAAATGCAAAAAATTTACCCCGCGTAATGAATACTCCCATATAGAGGTCAATTTTTCGGAAAAAAATGTGCATTCGTTATGAGAGTAAACACGGTATGTGGTCGTCACTTCACTGCAGTACACCACGGCACGGTGATAAGTGTACTCATTGATGCTAGTTATCTAGCCAGAACAGATAACGACCATGAGAAATATTTCTAAACTTCGAAGTACTAGCAATGTTTGATACAGAGATCAAAGAAAATATGACGTTATTCGAGGCAATAATCGGAAGTTTTCGAAATTTACAGAAGACTACCATATTGATCAGGCCACTTAGCAGTGACTGTTTTATTATACTGTCAATATTAATAAAGTGAAAATAGGTTTTGGCGCAATGTTCGCGCAAGTTCTTCGCATTTTGGCAAAATGTAGCAGGATGTAGCAGGGTAAGTGCCTTGGCGCAGTTTGGCACAAATGGTGCACCAATTGCATCACAGCATTGTGCCCATAGACAGTTCCATAATCACCACCGGGTGATATGTGTAGATCTCAGGTTAGGTATTTCTTCTAAGTACCAGCTAGCTCAACTTTCTACGTTACTACATATCTCAGGTTAGCGGTAATACTGGGGCTCTCAGTTGCATGCTCGGCGAGAAAGTCAGCAAGATTGCAGACTACAGCGACCAACCGATGCCGCAGATCTCGCCCACTAGTTCACCAAGTGTCTAAATTAAAACCCCTGCACTGCCCAAATTATCTTCTTGGAGTAGAGATACCATTTGAAGCAGCATAACTTACCTGTTAGGACTGCTGACTGGGCGAGTTGGTGAGCCACCAACTCACCCAGCCAGCAGTCCTAACAGGTAAATTATGCTGTTTCGAAATGGCATCATGCTAAATGTTACGGTGCACAAAAAAAAAAAATACTGACGGACACAGGCGCACTAAAAATAACACAGTTGCTCAGCGCTGTATTATTATTGCTCAGCGCCGAGTGCCTATGTTACTGGGGTTTCCCCAGGAATTGAAATTAGGGGGGAGTGTCTAAATTTTTAGAGGGGGTTAGGGTAAGGGAGGGGGCATCGAGAATAGAGGAGTCGTTGTGAATTAAGGGGGTGCCTTCGGAAAAACAAGGGGGAGGGGAGTACAACCCCGTAGGGGGGTATAGGGAAATCAATGCTGTGTTATTTTTTGGTGTGCCTATGTCCGTGAGTGTTTTTCTTTTGGTGCACTGTAACGTTAAATAGCATAATTTACAGCTGTCTAAACCCGCACGCAACAAATTTGCCTTTGATAAGCCACACGACCACAACACGAAAAGGCAAGGACAAGAAATGAGATCCAACTAGTATGTCTTTTAGAGCACAGCTCTTAGGCACCCGTTTCCGGCTTGAGCGATGTCGGCGTTGGCGTCGGCGTAACCGCGCGGTGCGTTATGGGAAATGTCCCATAATGCACCGTGCAAGCCCCCCCCCCCTCCCCCCCCCCCCCCCCCGCCAAAGTCACATACCCCCCCCAGAGGAGATTGAAGAATGAGAGGAGGAGGAGGATAAGGAGGAGGGAGGAAAGGTATACCCTCCCCTCAGTACCCTTCCATCCTCCTCCTCAAGAGCTGCACTCTAATTTGGCTTTACAAAGAGTTGTAAACAGCTTTCACTTTTTTTCCTCGTCTGCTCCTTAATGTAAACAAGAGTCAACACAATCGCCCCCTGCTTAACACTTCGATCCGATGCTAAGGAGGAGCAATGAGCAAAGTAAGCAGTGCCTCAGTGATCTCGTTGATCGCAGTATCGGCGCCGAGCGAAAACTCCGTCCCGGGGACGTTGTTGCTGATGGTAGCTGGGATGACCACCATGGGGATGCGCAGAGCGGGGTGTCTCTCCCGTGCCTCCGCCAACTGCAGGACCGTGTGGTATCCCTGGAGCACGCAAATCGAAACAAGTAAAGTGTGAATAGAAACGATGCAGAGAAGCTAACTTTATCCCTGCTAACTTCGAACCCCTAAATTCACAAAAAATAAGATGGACGGTGATCCGAATTAGTGCAATACGTGTGTCCCTCCGTCGAAAGTATCCAGAATTGAATGCGTGCCACCTCGCAAGTGTATCAGCCGCCGGATTTGGGCGCATTCTCCGCGGTAAGCTCTCGGGTCACAAAACTTTCTTCGCCTCGTCACTTGTCCCCCGTGAGAATATCGAGGCCACAACTCAAAACCAATAAGGTGGCCACACGGTTTACACGATTCACAGCAAGGTGCAAACAATGCAAACATTCCGTCCAAAAAATTCAGTTATGAGTTCAACCGCATCCGAAATTTCAGTTGCCGTCGAGCATTAACACTGCAGGGTGAATGACAGTCCCGCGAAGATGCCGGAATAATCGAGGATGACCTAAATGTTTGCATCCGAAAAATGTCGCTGACCGTAGTGCCAGGAAATTCAACCAAATTGAAGGAAAGGCCAGCCCATGAAGACAGAACCAAAGTACACACCTCAAATCCTCCAATGACGAGAAGCGCCTGGATCTTGTGTTCCTTTATCCGGGCCACGATCTGCTCCATCAAGTCCCCGGGAACCGTCCTGGACATTGGAAGAATTTTGTTCTAAGCTCACAAAAACTTTGAACACAAATGCGTGAACCAGCATTCTCGCTAGCACCAGAATGTGACTTTCAAAAATAAAACAAAAGTAGCAACGAAAGAAAAACAGCCTTGCCTCTTTGTTCCCAGAAAAGCTCCGCCTTGTCCCACCCAGCCGGCCACTTCGTGCCACTGGATGCTGTGGATCTGGCCCACAAGGTACATGTCAGTACAAGAAACAATTGTCCACACTAACATGCTAACACCAACAGCAGTCCACACGGAGATTCAAACACAAAACCAAACCGAGCATCAAAAAAAAATTTTTTTTAACATTGTCAATTTTGTTATTTAACATTAGAGATATAATTCTCTTGATGACCCAACCATGCCCACTGAGCAGCTGGATATGTTATATGCAAGACAGCGCAAAAGCTGCCGGAAGTTGGAACCTGTTTTGGAAATCACCATTTTGCATAGCCTTGCGACATTCTTGGACGCACTTCTTATATACCGCTTAGCGTTCATCCACTACACTCTAAAGCAGTATAAATAAACATTTTCTACCACTAGTAAGTAATACTACTCCATTACTGTGCTATTCCTCCACTACCGTTACAACAACTCGCATTTGAGTCGACTACTTGGTTTTTAAGGGAGCGCAACACTGCACTCTTAATGTTGTTTTCTTTTTTTTTTCGTAAATTTACTTTTCCATAGCCAAAGAGGCATTTGCTCAATAGAATCAAACACCTTTATAATGAAGTCTGCAGGACTGGTGAAATCTTCTGTAGTAAAGGTAACTTTGTTGCATTAGTTGAGTGTGAAAAATTTATCCCGCAAAACTCAATCTGTGCTATCGCAAATTGAGGTACTTGCACACATTCGTGGTGTTTTAGAAAACATTATGAACGACATTAGAAACAAGGTTTTGTAAAATGACAACTGACTTATCAAAAGAAAGAATGGTGTCTGCTTGCGCATTGCAGACATGTGGAGCGAAGGCTCACGCTGCAGACTCCAGGCATTTGGGATCAATTATTACCTTTTATTTTATTTTTTTTCTAAATGAAAATTATACTGGCACACGTTCATGCACTCACCACTGCATGACATAACCTAAAGACACACCAGGCTAGCAATCACACCACCGGTACCGTCAAAGGCAAACTTTGTCAACTACAGCCGAGACACCAGGAGCTCCTCGATGCAAACTACTAGTTTCCCGCTGTCCAAATATGAGCGATTGAAATATGAATCGCAATAATCACTAGATCATCGACATTGACCACTGATCAAACAGTGCATAAGAGGCTTTAGCCGACTGTGTAAATTTGGCCCTTTCTAAATCGGGCAACGGCTTGCACCTCCCCGTGTCATTCAAAGGAGGCTCTCGAAGCGACTGCACTGACCCCAATCACGTTTCCTCAACCACATATTATCGCTCCAACGCCAAACATTTTCGGACTTAGATCGAACAAGATTGGGTATCATGGTAAATCCTGACGAAGATGGGCGCGTCGATCGAAAAAATGCCGAGCATAAAAATGTTGCGACTGCTCATTAAAATACCTTTTTATTACTCTTGTTTGCAAGGGTTCTTTCAAATATGCTGACATACCCGCAAAATAAGAAGACAAGTGTCTGCATTGCCCAGACGGAGCGTCGAAAAAAAACTTATCTTGAAGCGGACTGGCGCATACTCAACGGCACGAGCAAAACGATAGTGTGCACGAGCGTGCGTGAGCACTTTGCAGCAATGTTAGGAAGTCCCGATGGTGTCGTATGTAGGAAGCAACATAATCATGTAGTGCCATCTAGACAAAAGGTTGCACACTAACAAATTATGTAAGCTCAAAACTGAGAACGAGCGGCGCAGCAGTGGTTTCAATTGTTGTCACTGACGCAGTATTTCTGTTCCTTATGCGCGTCACTAGAGAGCAACAATTTACGCAAAATCTATTACTTTTCACGAAGAAAATTCGTCATACCGGTCGTTTTTGCTTAGTGGGGTCGCGCAATCGCTTCGTTAAGCAGAAATATTTGTTAAACAAGAATTCGTTGTAGTAGTCACAAAAAAACATACAGGAGATTGGCCGGAACATTATTTTACCTCGTCAAATGGGCGTTTCATTAGTAGAGGCATTTGACCGTACCCATTTAGATCGCAACACAACATAGCCGTCACGGGAGCCACTCCATAAGCAACCCTACACGGAACATCGTTCTGCACAAGGCTGACCCTAGCCAGCACCAACGTTTGCCGAGCCCGGCCACAACCAAACACGTAGGTCGCAAATGGCACGTATTTCTGAAGGCTAATAACTGTCGAGGCATAAAAAATTTGACGTAGGCATCCACACTGAAAGGAAAAGACAAACGCCGCGAGGGACGAGACTGGCCCAAAAAGGGCGCCCCTACGGGTGGTGAGCGGAGACAACGGCGGGCGAGAGAACTCCGTGGAGCCCCAGAAGGAAGGAGGGAGAGGGTAAACAACATTACGGTTGTTCACCGAGACGTTGAAGCGCGAGTGGCGGCAGCTTAGGACGCGGGAGTCTCAAGTGAAATAAAGAAGACAGGTTTTGACCAAGTACAAAACAATGCCAACGAGGCGCCAAACTTACGTTGTTCTCCACTAGGCCTTCGACGCCGTCGTGAATCGCGAGGACCGTGTCACCACGGAAGAGGCAGTTCCGGACGAAAGAACGCACAGCGGCGTTCATGCCGCAACAGGGTGCTCCCACATGCATCACGGCCAGCCGGTAGCCCTGGAATTACGCCACCGTTACAACGGCAAACGGGAGAAAAAAAAAAGAAAAGATTTAGTGTTGTCGCAACAACTCTGCCACTTGCCAGAATTAATGGATTTCCGTCTGGTATGCAATAGACAGGCAACCTTGCCTGCTTTGCTGTCGACATTAAGGGGGGACACTACCCAGAAAGAACGATGTCTGCAAAAAATCTTGATTTTGAAAAATGTCATATTTACATCCACAAACATCTAGAGAGTATTCCCAGAAAGTTTCATTAGTTTACACTATGTATAGTTAATTTTTCATAAATTATTTTCGGTCCACCGATAACAAAGAAAAGGTAGAGGATGGAGCACTTTGAACACATTTTTTGCCATTCCCCTTGTTGGCGTAAATTTCACTTTTGGGAAAACTATCGTTTTGTTATTACGTAACTTGGATTAATTTTTATGAGCTATTCTGGGGGGAACTTTTAAGGGGAAGATAGCTATGAGCTTGTATTTTTTTTATTTTTGTCATTTTTCATGATCATGAACTAAAACTGTGGACATGGAAGTCTAAAAAACAGTATTTGTGTTTATCTGACTTTTTTGTCACGAAAAATGGTATAATATAGAAATACAGCTCCATAGTTATGTGTTCTGAACTGTCCTAAAGCAATATAACACATGTAAATGACAAATTTATAGGTAATTTCAGAACGACAGTTTTCCTACGCAGACACGCCCACTTTCATCTTTAAACATAGGCAATTTTTTTTGTACTTCACCCAAGTTAACAAAATTTGGCACAAATGTTCTCAACATCAACAGAAACAAGCCCTGTAAATATTATATAAATCAGACAAGTTGTTTTAGACATTCACATTTTTGGGAAGCGTCCCCCCTTAAGTAGACTGATCATGTCACTGAGAGGACCGCAAGCACAGGGCGTCTTTTCCAAATGCCCGGCCTTCAGCATGTGCTCGTTGGGCCCACTAATGTTGGAACAAGGGGGAAGAACCCCCCCCCCCCCCCCTGCCCATTATCTGCCCCCAACCACCCGACGTTGCCCCTCCCAATCTCTCGAGTAGTTGCTACGATTCTGCTCATTGCCTGTTGTCACGCTTTTGGTACTGCACGCACCCTCCAGGCTCGTGAGGCGACAAAGCGTCACCGAAGATAGGAGGCTTGCGCTGGAGGCGGGTCAACCGAACGACCTTCCTGTCACTCTCATCCAGTCAATGACTAAAAGACGGGGCAACTTTGCCCGTTGGCGCCGAGCCAACAATTCGTCTATGCATATCCGCAAGTACACCCTCTGGACGCCTCCGTCCCGGTGCCAGTTGGAGGCGCTTACTCGACCGCACGCAGTAGCCAGACTAGCTTTTGAACCACAGTTGCCTGCAAACATGTAGAGCTGAGACAGAATGTTTTGGGGATTCACATTCCTCTCGAGCCAGGATTTTACAGAGAAGCTGTTTATGGCTAGGGTTCCACGGACTTTTCGTGCGCGTCAACAAAAACTCGGAGAGGGTTTGCACCGCCCCCTCTTTGTCGTCATTCCAAGCGCTTGCGTGCCTAGTTTCCTTTCCTTCCGCTATGTGGTAGTCCTGCCACGCATGTTTAGTTTCCTTCGGCCCCTCGGGGCGGCGATGGTCCTCGACATGTGTGTGCGTACCTTTCGTCAATATGACCACCGATCAAGACAATAAATGTCTGCACCTTTGTTTAAAATTCTGTGTCACGTCTGTGTCGTCTGCTAAACAGCTTCGCTGGTCATCCCCCTTCGCAGAGTGGAATGGCTCATGATTTTATGTTCCTTTCTTCTGTCCTCCATACCTTCTTTTCCCTTCCTTCCCCTTCCCCCTCCCCCCCCCCTCAAGAAAACAACAACAAAAAACCTAGAATTTATTTGTTTAACTTAAAGCTAGAACCAGTAGTATCGATCAGGCTTTCCACGTTTAGAGTTTTCAAGGTTACCTCACCTTTCTCGACGTCTTTCCCCATGAGAGCAAAAGAAGAGGCAATTAAAAGACAAGTTGAAGCGACAATTCTTCGATATGTGCAGCTCGGACAAAGTGCCGCCCGAAAAGACGCGACTCACCGCCCCTTTGTCCAGTGCAGCCTTTGGTGGCTTCAGCCTAGTCAGCATACGGTAAGTGAGCAGGTTACGTTCAAAGCTCCTGCGGCATGAGGAAAGGACGGTGGTGAAGACGTTACTTGAACGCTGACCCTCTCGAGCGAGAGCTTCCCAACCGCAAGCTTCTCGAGAATTTCCCGATAAAATGTAATATTGTGCCCAAAACACACCAGTATTCTCTTTCTATCAGTACCTCAAATGCATCTACTGTAAGCTTTGCAGGCTCACCACAACTCTGCTTTGCAAGAAAAAGTAAGTTTAACTAGTGATACATAAAGGAATCATGTTTTCCAGTAAATAAAAATATATTTTTCCATCGGTATGACCCTTAACTAAGCGAATTCGCTGCAGGGTTATATTTCTCGTTTGATACGTTGGTGAGGATATTGAAACTGGCCCCTGCTTGCGCATACCGTATTATCCCGATAGATAGCCCATCTAAAATCGAAAGCAAATAGGGTGAAAACAGAAAGTAAATTAAAGTAAAAGAAAGTAAATGCAATCATATTTAAGCGTCTACCTTTTTTGCGGTTCCCACGTCTCTTGGGATTCGGGTAAGCCAGCGGGCACGGAGAGAGTAATTAAATATCAGTGCATCATATTTTAACCGGACGACGCAAAAACCTCCTCCACCGACGAGGGCGACCCGCGGTACCGAAAGCGCGCAAAATGTGACGTCTTTGGTCCTGGGCTTGCCACTGGTCAAAGCCGCTAAAATCTTTTTTTTAGTCGAGATACAAATTATAAGTGTCGCGAACCGTTTCAATTATGTATGAAAGTAGTTTTTGTTCACTATTTTAGGTCAGAAAAGAAAGAAATGCAGTTTAGATAGTACGGAAACGAGAAATGACCCGTCAATATACCCACCACCAAGCGGCGGAAAAACACGGCGCATACTAGAAAAGGCTAGTGGGATGAGGCTACGACGAACGAGGAGCGTAGAAAGGTCCCGGATGTAAGCGGCGGCGCTGCGGTCGTATACCAGCTCAAGAATCCGACCGGCTCCGAGCGTTCCGAAGGCCTTCGGCGCGGGCCCTACTGGCGATTTGGCCATTTGGCGGTGCGTCAGCGCGAAGTGGCTCCCGTTCTGAACTGATCTTTACCCTGTGTTTGCTGTCGTTTGTAGCCAATGAAGCGTTATGCTGAATTAGTGTTTAGTCGCGCAGCAAATGCAATGCTAGCTGCCCTGGCCGCCCGCTTCATACAGCGTATCCAACACGTGCCTTAGTGGCACCCTCTCGAGCCGTTGACACGGAGTGCGGCAGCCGTGAGCGCTCGATGAGCTCACTACTCCTCCTTTAGTTCAAGGCCACTCAAGCCAGGACCTAGGACGTCATGAAGGAGGTTATTTTTTGCTTGCTTTTGTAATTCTAATTTCCCTATAACTTTTAAAATAAAGCGAAATTTGAGAAAAGAAAAGTTTGATTAAGTTCCTGCGTTCAGTACGCTCAGGTTCAGTGCAAATTGAAAACCAGTCAAAAAGTCATTGCAGGGCCCCTTTAATTTTAGGTGTGCAATAAAAAGAAAAAGATGAAAAGTGCAAGTTTTAAGATTAGAGAGAAGAGCAATGAACCAAATTCGACTGTCGTTCGTTCCCAGTCACCGTTGACCAGGGCCCTGCAATTAGTAGAAGTGGGCTATCTTTCAATGTTGTCGAAAAAATAGCAAATCATGCCAAACATATAGGTGGATTATCTTTCAGGAGTGGGCAACAAAGTGGACGAGCTTAGAGCGATAAACAATAAGTACACGGTAATTCACAACAAACTACCCTGCCACGGGAATGGATACCGCAGAACATTTGCGCTTCACAGTGCAATAAACACGCGAGAACCCGCTATGAACTCGCATGTCATGGGAACAGATACTGCAGATTGCAGACGCAGCAGATTCGCGTTTCACGGTGCGATTAACACAGGAAACTGCTACAAATTTGCTTATCACGGGGACCAACGTCGCACACACAAATCGCAGACAGAAAAAAAAAGATGGGGGAACGTGCTACGAATATGCATGTCACGGGAACGGGTACCGCAGATTCATGTGTCATGGTGCAATAAACATGAGGAAACCTGGGCCAACAGGCTTGTCACATGAACTGGTACCACAGATTGCGCGGTTGATGTGATTCTAGTCGGATACAGCATGATCAATATCAGGCGGGAATCGAGGGGTGGCCGGCCGATGTTTCAGAATATTTTCGTCAAGGACAATTTAGCCCAAAAAACGGGATGGGCAATCTTTCGGGGGCGGGCGTTCATACAGGACTTTACGGTATGTACAATCTTTTTGCTACAAATAGCCGTTTATAGGGGACTGTGACTTATAGGCTGGAAAGGACAGTACTTGAAATACTAAAATGAAGATTAGGAAAAATAATGCAGCAGGGAATAAAATCATGAATAAAGCAAATGAAAAGTGCCAAGATTGTAATGCTAATAAGGCATTTAAATTACTTCGTATAGTCAAAGTACTTATAGAGTAAAAACTTATTAATCAAATATATACAGTGCAAATTACATAATTTTCACTAAGAGCTAATTTTCTTGAATTTTGTGACTTTGCTGAATATTGTGAAAAATTTAATGTGCAAATATATCACACCAGTCACAAATGCATAACATATTATACAACAAATCATTACATTTTCTCTCCACAGAACGTACCCACGACCCACACTTGGCAAAATTTGTGAAATATTGAACATATCAAACTACGCGAAACACGACATCTAAAACCACTGTGCCAAGAAATCTCCTGCAAAAGATGTGAGGGTCCTGACCTGCCCCTGAGTTGCACCGCCTTCTGCCACTCCTTGTCTGCCATGCATTTGGCCACAGCTTGCGTCTGCAGGGAAAAACCTTCAGCGTCACGACAAGACGCAATCAGGCTTTACAGACTTTGCGAAGGACATCCAAAATAGAAGAAGAGAGAGGAGGCAAACAAGCTATAAAAGTCTTAAAATGCCACTGCAACACTTACGCTAGAAGGCAACCATTGTGTATCCCACGGAATTTCGTTCCTTCATTTTATTGATCCCCACAGCTAAGCTAATAAATTCATTGATGTGCAACGGACAAAAAATCACCATTAGCAGAAGATGTGTCATTTCTCTTTGTGCTAATAAAGGAGACAAATCAATGCATTCTGATCGTAGAAGTTCTCACGCACACTGCAGAAGTTCTACCTTACTTCCGCATTAGATATTTTTTTACATTAGTAGGCTTATATTTTCACGGATATTGCCACATTAGTAACACGTCCATCACTTAGCTTATCCTTTCTAAAGCACCAAAATCACTTTTGTTTCCGACTAAAGCCAGAAAAGGCAGAGCTCTTTTTCGCATTCTTGAGTCGCCGAGAGCTTGAAAGCGCAGGGCGTGGCTTATAACGTTAACGCTTCTCGCCTCGTGATTCTTTCTCGTCGAATGACGATGCAATCTCAAAGCTCCGTCTATGCAGCAAAGCCTACCTTTGCGACGCACTGCATCAGGGGCACCCGGACGGCCTGGTTCCCGTCGAGGGAGACCACGCAAGCCTCTGAGTCGGGAGTGGCCTCAAACAGGGCCAGCACAGCCTCCGCTCCCATCCTGCAACCCTGTTTAAACGATATGGTGGGCTAAGGGAGGAGCCAATCGCCGCCATGACGCGTCACGAGCACTGGTGGCGACGAGGGTGCAAAGAACAAGCCCCCCAGTCTCTCGGGAGAGGATGACATACCCAACTTCCTCTCTCCTTGTACTCACTTTCTCCTCTCCCAATCCCATCTCAGCTCACCCTTAATTGCTGCGATAACCCTTAAATAATGAGGCCATGGCGCCCGCTGCAGGCACGTGAGGGCCACAGGTTGGAGACGAGTCCTGGCGTCGGCGTTTAACTGGAAGTCGTGTTGTCGCCGACTCAACAAAAGTCCTAGCCGAACGCCGACATGGCACTTGCGTCACACCTGTGGCTTGCACTGGCTTCCAGCAGGTGACGTAGAAACTCCAACGCTACTGCAGCCTTGTTTCCTGTACTTCGTTCACCTATAAGCCGAGACTGCAACCGAGGCTACGGGGACAAGCTAGTCCACACTCTTGGCTTTGAGACGCGCCTTTCTGTGGAAGATAGCTTCAAAGTCCCGACCTCGTGCTGGTATCTTTGACTGCTGTCTCGGCTTAAAGGGCGATTGGAGCATGGGAGCCGTCGATGAATGTCGAAGGCACACTTTTAATGACAGACTGCGCTGCTCAAGCCTCAAGCGCAGACACTAAGAGATTTCCAAGGAAGACTCACCAGGATCCTGTCAAAAGCAGAGGGGCTTCCTCCTCTCTGTACGTGCCCAAGGACTGTCACCCTGGTGTCCTGTTTCAGGTTGTCCACCACAACCTGCGGGGGATGGAGTAGTTCACGTGAGAAACTTTTGCCAAGTAAAGGCCGCTTCACAGATACGTGCAGCACTCGGTCGACACTAGGAACAGCACTGCTGCAGCTCTGAATTGCACGAAACTTGGCACCGACGTGGGGCATTATCGGCGCTGTGTCACTAATATAGCGTGAAGTCGGCGCAGCATCAGCAAGGCCAGCCCTGCTCGTAATGCTGACTAACAGCACTGAGATATCACAGTGGTGTACCTGTGAACGGGCCTCAAGTCTCACAAAATGGATAGTTGAGTCAGATGTTGCAAATTCAAAGGTTTCTGAGGGTCTTGTAACGATCTGATGCAACCTTTACTCGAGACGTAAAAATCCTAGAATCTGGCGTTTTAAGGACAGAATTGCTTTCGAGGAGATTTCATTGCATGCACTAACAATGAGTATTCTTTGGGGGTGGTGTTTTGAAGATAATTTGGAAATAATCTTAACATTAGGTGAAAAGTTCAAAATTATTTAGTCAGACACAAACAAACCAGGTACATAATAAGAATGGCCTTGGATGCAAATGAGAAAAACAGAACACACATGGAACGAAAACAGCTGGTGCATAGTCTGTTTCTTTTCTTTCCCTTACCAACTTAACGATAGTGTGCCAACATGCCCAACAAAGCTGAGAGGTCTTGAGCCATCATACTCCACTAGCATCATAAAATTCAGGAACCATCTTGAAAGAATTGAAGGGCCTCCATGCAGGAAGTTGAAATCGACAATTTTGTAAATTTTTAATGCTACACTAAAAATGCACCACCTTCTTGACATCGTCAGCAGTAATGGGTTGTCCTGCCCTGTCTTGAGCTCCTTCAGCAACGATGATGATATTCAGCCGCTGGCCAGCATCTCTTTCCTGGCACAAAACAAAGAAAAATTTCTGTGATTTTTTAGCCAACAGGCACACTTTAGAAGACCTTCACAAATGGCAACAAGCAGAAATACTGCAAAAGGCATACAATTACAGATATTGTAATATACAAAGAATATATAAAAACAATAAACATGAAAACTTTTTTTTTTTTTTTTAGCATTGAGAATAAATGATTGAGATGCAATATGCATCTCGGTAATTTATTTGAGAAATATACCTGAACAAGTATATTGAAATACCAATACGCAAATGCATTTTGCAGATAATAGATATGCCGATACAATAGCACACATTCCCATCAAAATACTCAAAATGTTGAGTTACCTCTAAGAGGGCAGCAGGTGTTGAGTGATACAGGGGCAAAGAGAAGTTGTTACTAATTTTGTTTTACATATACCATCAGAAAAAGAAAGTAAAAACATCCACATTCTGTTGCATTTTAAGAGTAAGAGCTTTTCAAAGAGAATCAGAGGCAAAAGGCTAACAGTTTAGACAATCGTAATTCAGTCAATTCACATGACAATGGCAAGGGCTCTCCCAAAAAGTGGGAATGTCACGAACAAGAGAAAAAGCCGAGGACTGGTATGGCTGGAGTACTTAAAAATGCACCTCGGTCAGTTGTGCCCGGCCGGTGAAATCAACGCATTTCAGATGCAACGGTATGCAGAGCGGAGAGAGGAAAACAATTATGTGCTTTGTTGGTGTCAATGTTTTGTCATGAGAGCATCTTGGTTGCCATCTGATAGTAACATTCGAGATATACTTCACAAGTGCAGATTTGCATTCTCAAGTAACGGGCAACATTTTCGCCGGCTCGGATCCCAACAATAGCAGCAGCACAAAACTGAAGCCGGTCTTTCAGGTAAGCAAACATGCGAAAGCACCCCAAGCAAGTCAAAGGAAAACTGAAAACGATTCCAGGACTTTTTTTTTTCTATTTTCTAAACATTTGTTTGTTTGCCTCTTAGAAGATGCAATGTACGTACTGCACATTTTTGTTTTCCATAATTTTTTTCGACAATGCTTTTTGCAAAGATATAGCAAGTTAAAACTAACAGGAAAAAAAAAAAAGAAACAAGAATTTTGAGAATTTAGGAAAGAATATAAGCAATGTGACACACCCGGCATATGCGAGACCACGAAACGTCATGCACGCATTACTGCTGTACCCCACTAAATATGCCACATTAGCGGTCGGTTCATTCCTTCACTCAACTGATATATGAGGAGACAACAAATCAGCACTTCATATTAGAACTTGGGACAGTAGTGCTTATATCAGTACTCTATCTGTTATATCGCTAATAGTATTAACTTCTCTAAATTCCCTCCAGCATCCCTTTAGGGACAAATTAGGGACAAACGAGAGCCCACCTGCTGCAGCTTCTTGCAGAGCACGGTCGGCCAGTCGCCCTCTGGGGGCCACTCGGGGATGAAGACAAAGTCAGCCTCGCTGGCCAGGGCAGCCACAATGGCCAGGTATCTGGGCAAACAAGATCCAGTTTCCCTCTAACCACGCAGCGTCAGCGCAGTTTCTAGTGTCCCGCACAAACCATTCCACTTTAGGCTCTTTGGGCGGCACCACTTTGGTCAACTCCACCAAGGGTTCTCAAATCTATTGACCTCAAGGAATGCCTACCTCTCTCAATCGATGGTCAAGAAATACCTCAGCATCAAAATCAAAATCCAACCCGAGGTTCTAAATTTTTGGCGGCACATTAAAGTTGCACCTTTTCCAAATTGTATACTTAAAAGAAAGTTTGAAGATATTTTATGCGCACAATAAAGTGCAAGGTGTTATTCGTGAACAGCAGAGAGATGTCCAATAGGGTAGAAGTGGATAGTAGCCTATGTAGGGCCTGCAGCTTGTCAATAGAGGGGACTTCCGAAAAGTATAGAAATACAAAAATCTTCGTACCCACAGTGCCTGCCCATCACCTCCAGAATGAAGGTCCTTTGGTGGCTAGAAACAAAAGTAAAAAAACAAATTAATCATTTGTGGCAGTAGCAAATATGCAAAAAGGGCAGAAAATTAGTATTAAACGAAACTTGTGACTCAGATACAGAAAAAACGCATCGACAAATACAGTTTAGTGAAGCTCAAGTCGAGGCAATACAAACGCACACTGTCTCCCCTCTAGCCTGCCGACATCTGTGACTCCTAACTATACTACATGAACGAATAGTGTGTGGTAACGGACAGTCAGTCCGCTACCACACACTAACAGCAACGCGAAAAAAGCAAGTGATATTGCAGTGGCGTAAAATAAGCTACACATTCCAATTCGTTTGGCGACTCGAGCACTTCTGAATGCATAATCTAAACAATGGCAGCATTATCGTGAACGGCATTTACATACTAATACTGACTCCATAATACGTAAATCAACACTGTGCTCGGCACCAAGAACAAATCTGATGGAAACAAGCACGGAACAACCCACCAAAACCTTTGGTGCCCATTTCCCCCTCCCCCACCTCCTCACCAATCAAGATGGTACAGGGTGCAAGCTTATTACCGTTCATCGGCACATAATAAAAACCCTACACACATGCAATAAAGTTACACTGAACAATACAACTGGCACAAACACAACACTGGACTTTATTTGTATTTAGGTAACTCGGACAAACCCCTGAGAAACCCCAACTTTTACAAGCTAAGTCAGTGCCACAGATGGGCAGATTTGCACGTACGGGAAGTTTCAATGAAATAGTCTCGGACGTAAAAACAAAAACGAGAAATGGCCAGCTTGTTCGAGCCAATAACCGTGCCATGTCCTGTGCGACACATTGGCACACAAACCTTGAGGCAGTCGTCACGATGGCATCGATGGCCTCAATGATGCGGTGCAACGCTGAGTCAGTGCCGATGGTCATATCGGTGCCGCAGAAGTCGTTGTCGATCGACCCCACCATGCCCACAATGTTCAGGTGGGCGCACTGGCTCCTCAGCTCGGGGGAGATGGTGCCTGGTTGCAGATAAAAACGCAACACGAATCAGGATTCTCTTACAGCTGGAAGGGCAACAAAGGCAAAAACTTAATTCAGATGTTGTTGGGAAACTTTAGCGTTTTGGGAAGCAGTTATGCACGAACAAGACTGGAACATGAGAGAATAAAATAGACCTTTAGTCTTTTGCTCAAGAACAATGACTAGGATGCTCATCTGTTAAGGGGAACTCATCTACACCTTCGTATTGAGTTGACGACAAAGTTTTGTTTCATGCCAATAAACATAAAATAAAATCAACTGTTGCCCTCAACAAAAATTTTATACCAATGGTGGCAAGGAAATGTTATTATGTAATACAGTATAGACCACTTACAACGTAACCGCTTATAGTGCAGGACCGGGTATAACGCAGTTTTTTTAAACCACCGGTTTGCCTCCCATAGAACTCCATGTAATTACATACCACTTAAAATGCAGGCGCGCGAAGGGAAATACCGGTTATAGTGCGGTTTCTGGCACAGCCCGCCGACCGCGCCGCCGACTGGAGCAGCGAGCACGCTTCACTGTGCGACACTAGATAACAGCGCTGACGGCGCGAGCCGCAAGCGGCACTTGCGGGGCAAGGAGGTTGCTCGAAGAAGCGGGCAGAAGCGAAGAGAGAGGCTTCAGTTGCCATAGCGACGGAGGGACGCATGCACGTGAACGACACGTGCGTGCATCCCTCCGCTGCGTTGGAAACAAACAACCGCAACGACAGACCAATCGCAGGTCGAGGAGAAGTGTTCGCGCGCGTTGCATGCCGGTCGCGGGCCGGCTGCTTCTATCCGCAAACATGGCGTCGGTTGTGATCGTCGTCGTAGACGGCGTTCATCTCATCAGTCCGCGTAAAAGCGCTATCCTTGACTGTGAATTTTCGTTGTGTGTCGCTATGATAACCCAGCACGTACTAGAAGGGAAGATCCACCTACTCGTGCGGCGATGTCGTGGCGGCGCTCTCAAGACAGCAGAAACGCCCGTGTCGTCGTATTTGTTTACTTCGACTACAGTGGTGATTTCTAAGCATTTGTGTCCTCGAACATCGCCCGGATTTCTTATTTGGCGCATTTCATCCGTGTACTCAAGTTCAAAGTATTACTGGCGCGTACCGTATGAAGGATGCGAATTTTCACGAGAAAAGTGATTAGGGTTAGCAATCCTGAACGCTCGCAACATCCGTCCGCAACCCGTGATGCCGTTAAAAGGCTGCGCCAGACAAAAGCCGCTCATTTCTTTCAAAATGTGTGACACACTTGAGACAGAACTGTACTAGTCTGGTGAAATAAAGACTTTCCTCAAACTAAGCTTTATTTTTCACCTAACATAAAATAAATTCTTTTACAAAGGTAAGTTGTCTCACGGCATGTATTTTGGCCTGAAAAATTTATGTTTTGGTTATAGCGCGGTACCGCTTATAGTGCGGATTTTCGCGACTGCCGCGACATACGTTATATGCGGTCTACACTGTAATCTGTAAAATTTAAGCCTTTCAATGGAAGAAGAAGATCCAATTTTCAAATATTTATGCATAGAAATTTAAAGATTGGCTTTAAGATAAACCCAGCTTAAATACCCACAAAAAAAGGGTGCACATTCATGGCACCACTTTTTATTAGTTTCCACTAATATTGCTACTCATAATATAACCACACACAAAAAGAGGAGACCAGTGTGTCAGCAAAACATTTCTACCACTCTTCACTACTCAAACACAGGAATTGAATAAACAATTCCTCAACTCCACTTTAAGCTCAAGGCCGATTAACGTAAAAAAAAAAAGGAAAAAAAAAACACAACAGACAAAGACAGCATTTTGTGCCTGTTTGTAGTGTGTTTGCTGTTCATTCATTAAAGCCCCATTGCCATCAAACCCCTCAAAAGGACCACTGTGCATCCAGACAACCTAAAGCACCACGCCAGAGATTGAAAGTGCCTAGCCAACCTTTGTCGACCAATTCGTCAAGCAGCGAGCTCCACTCCTGGCGGAAGAGGTTGGCACCAGTGAGCGAGCCATCACCACCAATCACCACCAAGTTGGTGATGCCGTGATTCACCAGGTTGGCAGCCGCCTTCAGGCGGCCCTCACGCTTTCGGAAAGCCGAGCACCGGGCGCTTCCAATCACCGTACCACCCTGAGAAGAGTGTGGACAACAGCCCAGCTGACATCAGAGTGAAAGCACTGTTGTGAACAACCTGCATTTATTTCTTGACACTTTATTCAAATCACAAACATTATAAAAATTAAAAACAAAACAAATTACTTACTCTAATAACACATAAAATTGATGACTTAGTTACTACCTATAACGAAATTTCTTCTTTCTCGTTAGGCATACCACGAACACGGCACTCCTAAAAAGTAACGGAACGATATGACCTTTTCGTTTATGATGTATGTAATCACGTCTGACAGAAGAAATACAGGGTTATTGCAGACAAAGGCAAACATACAAACACATGTACCTGAGTATGCCAAATGCCGCTCTAAGAAAAAGGAAACTGTGACTTTCAATGCAAACATTTTTATTTTCCACACGTCCAATCCACGCATCTCAGAGGGGTTTGTTTATACCTTTGATAAACTTCTTGACCTTGAGGTAGACGAAAACCACCAACTTTTAACACCTTATCAGCTGGAAGCACTCTTCTTTCCAAGATTTCTTCGGTGAAGTAGGTCAACAAAAGTAAAATTTAACCAGATTCAGGCCTAAATTTTGCATTTAGCTAGCATTCTTAATCATAAAAGGTATTCACACGAGGGAGAAATCCCCAGGACATCCCTCACTGCTGTGACTACCTCTTTACCAAAGAAGAAATTTCTGGGAAGCAAAGAAGAGTAAGAACAGAATGGAATGCTGTGTTCAGAGACCCAATGATGTCATAAAATTAAAAAAAAGTTCATTTCTATTTTCTTCAGAATTGCCTTTTAAACAAGGGGTAGATATGTAATGCCACGGTTTAGTACTGGTGCCAGTTTACAAGATAGTGGTATCAACCATCAGGAAAGTGCAAAGGTGGATGAAGCATGGCAAATCGTAAGCGCTGACATCGGTGGTCTAAAAAATTTGAAAAATAAATAAACAGATGAAAGGTTGTTTTGAAGGTATCCAATTGCTTGACAGTTTTAGTCAGTCTTCATGCAATGCAAATCACCATGCATTTCTTTTTTTTGTCAAAAATAAAGCTAAAAAAAGATTCGGTTACGACGTTGCAAGTGATTTCTTACCAGTTCTTCGCACTTATTAAAGCGTCACCAGCAAGCTCGGCAAACCAAGACCGGCAGTGAAGGCCTCGAGCGCACTGTTACAAGGAAGTTGAGGTGCATCGGAACGTGCGGACCTTTGCCACCGCTTTTGTTACGGGAACTTCATGTTCCCCCATGATTCTGCCCACAATGGGTGGCAGCGGTTTTGCCACCCACCAGACGGGCCGACTGCCCAACTCTTCAACGTCCAGCCTGCCTTTATATTTTGCCTCCGCCAGACAAGACAATGCCAAATTTGAAAATGCACAATGCCCCAGATTTCTGTGTTTGGCAAACTTGCATGGCACAATGCAATAAAACTGCATAATTGCCATGAACAAAAGTCACTGTTGCGCAACGCAGCAAAGAAAGTGCAAAAAAGACCAAAGTTGTGGCAATCGCCCCCTGCTGCTCAGCAAACTGAGACCAGTCTTTTTACAAAACAAACTACCATGTATCTTTTTTTTTTTTAATTAGGTTAAAAAGAGATCCAGTTATGACCTTGCCTTGCAAGTGATATTTTAACAGTTCTTCGTGCTTATTAAAGCGTCACCAACAAGTTCAGCAAGCCGAGATCCAGCAATGAAGGCCTCGAGCGTATTATTCCAAGGAAGTTGGAAATTGTCAGATGTCTACATCTCAAAAATATCTGGGGAAAACCTTAAGGTCCCCATAGACACCTCTGCCACACATTTGACGTCCCCTCCCCCCGAACGCGGTGAGAGGTCACCTTGTGTATGATGCCCGACACGCTGACCCAGGTGGCCTCGACGATGTAGTCCCCGCCGTCCACCATGCCCTGGTAGCCCTCCTTGATGAAGAACACTCGGGCACCCGTGTACAGGCCCATGCGGACCACGGCACGCACTGCTGCATTCATGCCTGCACCGGGAAGAATGGCACAAAGACAACTAAAAACACAACATTTTTTTCTTTCCTTTTCGAAATTTCGAAATGATGCATAGATTATGTGCAGCCACCATTAGTTGGTCATACACTATGAGCTCGCATTGGACATGAGTGCTTCGTCAGCATTCGGAGTGTACCCGGATCGAAATGCATTCCCACACGAGTGCTGCGTCAGTGTTCGGCGCAAACTCAGAACTAATCACGGGCTTCATGCAGGAAGCAATGAGACCAACTAATGATGACTGCGCATAATCTATGTGTTATTTCACAATTTCGGAAAGGGCCTATAGGTACATCACAAAAACACAGTCCACCAAAGAATTACTTCCCAGTGTTCTGCTTCCACAAGTTGTTTTGAAGTAACGTGACATGTTTCTATTTCGGGTCATTGCGCCGAAATACCAGAATTGCTCATAACTAAAAATGTTTCTCGCAACACAAATATTGCTCCAATAACTTTTTTTTTTTTTTTTTTGGCAAGTTAGTTTTATGACAAATGTGTCTAATTCAAGAGCTTAACAAAAAAAAGTTATTTTTGGAGTATGATACCCATTTTTTGTGGCTTCTAAAAAGCTGCTAATACGTTAATTGAAAAATGAAAGAAAAAGTGGCACAGCCACGTGATTTCTGGTATCTTTCACCCCTTCTATATTTCTTCTTCCTCCCCAGTCCAGTTTCAGTTTCGAGCAGTTGCGTTTTTTTACTTTATTAAAAATATATGTGACACTGTAGCAAAATATTGATTGGGAAGTCTTTTGACACCATAATAAAATGCCTAGCAAAAAATTTAAAAAAAAATTGGGGGGTGTCAGTGTTCTTTTAAATCAAACTCCAGAAAGCCACACATTTTGTTTCAATTATCAAATGTTTGAATGATCAGAAATTGATGCAAACATAATGCAAGATAAAATTATGATTTTCCATATGGTGCATACAAAACAGGTATTTGAGGATTTCCCCCACATAGGCCTCCTAATCATAAGCGGGTATGCCACATATGAAACATTTTTCAAATGTATGACATAAGTTTATTCATCTCTCAAAAATGTTGTTTATCATGGACTGTTTAGAAACCTCACAACAACTCAAAACAAAACTAAGTTTGTTCATCCGGCCAATTAGTTGTCTAATGTGAACTATTAAGAAGGGGACACGAGCAATGAAAACGGGTACCACGCGGCAGTTTTCATAGCAATTTGTGCAGACGCTGTGACGTGGACCTATGCCTTGCCGCCACATTGCAGCATCCGCGGAAGTTGCAATGGAAATTTCCGCGTGGTGCCCGTTTACATAGATAACTCTTGTGTGCCCTGCTTGAGCCCCCGTTGAGTGCGCTTCTCCCCCCCAGCACCGGTGAACTGCAGAGAAGCAACACTATCGGAAGCAAGCTCCGCGGGTGTTGCCTCTCTGCAGTGCACCGGTGCTCGGAAAGAAGCGGATACAATGGGGCCGTGAGAACAAAAAGTATGAATTAAAGGCCGACAAAAAAACCTCGGTCTTTTGCATTAAAAACATAGCGGGACAACCAAAATTTTGAAATTTGTTTGAGTTAAGCAGAAGTATGAAATATCCAAGTTTGAATTATCGCGAGCCTACTGTATACTGTGTAAGGTCTGTGTGCCTTTGAGGTGCGGGAAAGCTGGTTTAATAATAATAATAATTTTTCATTTAAGTGCCCAAAAATAATCAAAAGGGCTTTTAAATTACGGTACAATTCCACAAAAACACCCTCAAAAGAAAACAATATACATGATCACACTCACACATGCTATCACAAAAACAGTACAAAACAGAAAAATGAAAATTAGTAAAGAGTGAATTATTTGACAGGTGAACACTATAAGTAAGAAACCAAAAATATGCATGATCACACTCAACATGCTAACATAAAAAAGTACAACACAAAAATTAAAAATAGGGAGTAAAGAGCAAGTTATTCAATAGGTGACAAAGCTCGGAGGTGGATACACAGATGTCGAAATCCTGAGTGGCTACACTGTTATAAAGCAACTGGATCCGAGAAAAAGGTAGAATGTTGCATGGTGAATGAATATAAAACTTGGACAAAAGTAAAAGAGAATATTTTTCTAGCAAATATTCATAACCATAATAAATATGCCATTCTAAATACCTGTCATAAACTATATTATTTTTTTAATTCGAAGCCGCAGGCTAGCAGTACCACTGTTAGCCTGGGGTTTCGAATGTGCATCACGCGGTAGAGAAATACAGGATCGCATGCTGGCACGATGCTCATCCAGATCGGAACAGGCAGGGGTGGGGATTGAACCCAGGGTCACTGGGTTCTGCAGCACAAGATCTGGCTCCACGTGCTCCAAGTTCCGATGCACCAATGCACTCGGCCACCGATCCCTTGAAGTCTACACAAACGTCTCACTGCGTGCAGAGACAGGGCTTCACAGTGCGCTAGGTTTGTTTGTTTGCTCTCGCAATGAGGTACGCCAAATTAGCCTTGTCAGAAGAGATGTACAAACGTCGCACCTTTTTTTCCTCCTCTTCTCACACCCCTGCAACACTCCTTCAACTCATTCCATAAAGGCTTTGCTGCGGGGGTTGGTGTCAATGCACCGTATAGCTGCTGTGTACGGCGAGACTGATCCTTTGTGTTTGCCATGGATTGCACCGCAGGAGTTCATGACTAGTTTCACACCTCGTAACGCGTTCGGCGACACTAACAAGACACTTCCCTATCGTGATGTCTGCACCGATACGATTTCAAAGGGTGGAGAAAGAAAGAGGCCAAAATAAATTATGTTGTGATCTAACTTCTGCACTAAATCACTCCAACATTGCAAAACTTGTTTACCTTTGAGCCATTTTTGGGGCCTTTCTCCCATTTCATTTTTGGGTACAAGAAAACAAAAATGTTGTATTTCGAGGACAACCATCCATCTTCACTACATCAATGTTACTGCCATTTGTAAACGCTGCTTCAAAAGGGAAGGAAGATCACCAAATACAGAAGAATGCTCACTGACTCATTGAAAGGTCACTTGCACATTCGCTCGAAATAAACATTTCACCGCTTTGATTTTGACTGCTGCCTACTGTCCGCAACTGTCTCACTCCGTCTCCATTTACCCCCCTGTCGCCGAACCATTCCCCGGACACTTCCCACACCACTGCAACCGGAACACTGAAATGCATCTGGATTGTCCCTATGTAGAAAGCGGCGAGTCTGCAGGAAGTCTCATATTTCTATACCTTGAGATCCTCGCAAGTAACTTGTGCACTGTAGCAGTTCACTACAGCGGTACTGGACAGTCCTGTCCCGTTTGTGACATCTCTCAAGGTTGGAGGCACACGTCACAGAAGTCTGGAGCAGATCTTTATAAATACCACGCAGAAGCATTCCATCTAATAAACCAATGTATAATAATATCTGTACTAACTTGACAGGGAACGTTGGGAATAATGAAACCATGTATTATGACGGGGCACGCGCCACAATGTCGGTGCCATTTTGATGGAGCACGTAAGATTATCAATACATGTAGTGAAGGGGGAAGTCGAAAGAAGAAAATTATTTGGATGGGGGACTTCTGAAAAATTAAACTGAAGGAGTTTTTAAAGAATGACATTACCTATGCATGTAAAAAAAAATCAGATCCATCTATTCTGACGGGGTATGTCAGAATAGTTTTGGTATTCTATTTCCATAGAATAAAGAAAAAATTTGAGTTTTTTCATCTGTTATGAGAGGCCCTCCAGTATGCAAGAAACTCAGCGGAGCGACTCAAATGTACGAAGTGCGTACACCAATGAATGGAGAAACATTGTGAAGATTAAGCCAATTGAGGGCGGAAAAGACCGATCACAAGGACTGCATTGGGACGCGCGCACCCCACTTCGAGTGCTGCCAGGGGTCATTTCCCAAGGTGAACTGTCACGCCAAGTGCCAAAAAGGAAGCAACGCAAAAAATACTCCATCTTTTTAAAGGACACAGAGAGAGAGAGTCAGACAATACTTCACTTTGCCTATCTGGTACGGTTTACCGGCGAGTCCAGTTCGCTTCCGCGATAATTAAGCAGCAACGGATAACCCGAGATAGGAACGCCAAGAGACAGAGGATTTCGTCGGCTCCTTTTATCGAAGCGGTTAAAGTAGTAACTTAAAAAAAAATTAAAAAAAACGTAGTCGTTGGCTTATGGCAGCGTGGCCACGAGTCATTGTGTCATTCTGTGAATGTTTAAGTTGTTTTTAAAGTTCAAAAGAGCTCGAAACACGTGTGTATAGTACCACGGAAATTTGCCGACTTGCATTCCTCTGGAGTAAAATAATAAAAGAGCGCCGTGTTTCTTGAGATTATTCGCTGTGAGATGGTGTATTTGGGAAACACCGTAACTTAGGACACTGCATGCGTTAACTGCGAGAAAGCCCAGTGGAAAAAATCGTTGACAGTAAACGGAGCTGCTGCTTTTCTTCCAACACGCAACGTCGTGCGACCGACATTTCGGAATGCGGTCGCTTTAAAATGAAAATACAGCAGTCGCTAATTTGCGCGAGCATTCGAATATACACGCCAACAGATTCACAAATCAAACAAACCACCCGATCTTGTAGAACACCATTGACTATAGCTGTCAACCGACAATGCGCAGCGACTGCCATAAACCGACCGGCAAGACTTTTTTCTTTTTTTCTTACTAAGCACTCACCTTGCGAATCACCTCCGCTGGTGAACACGGCGATCACTTTTCCCTTCTGCATGCCCTGGGTGACTCTGGAGATAGTCTCTTGGGCCTGAATTTGCTCGACGCTCGGGCCTGAAGACGCCCTGAGGATCGCTTCCGACATCTTCGCTTGCACACCGGGACCTCGGGCCCTTACGGACAAGATCGAAGAATACGTGCGGAGAAAGGGCCGACGAGGGGAAACACACCCCGGAGTATTTAGGGATCGCAACGGTGCCTCTTTTTAAGGGACAGCCTTGCGACCCTGCTACCGTCCTTTGCGACCTTCACCTCTCGGCCAGTCTCGGCTCTCAGATGAAGAATCTTTTTGTTGTGTTCGGTACTTTCGGAATGGGTATGGCGTGTTCGTTTCGCAAAACTTACATTTATGAAGTCAAGCGTTTTGACTCTCAACAGATGTTTACTATCAGGTGCTAGAGCAAAGCATGCATCGATTATTATAATACTGGCAGATTAAAAACATAATAAAAAATTGGTTTCTATTTTATGCTAAATTAAAAGAACTGTAAACTATTTTATACACAAATATTTGAGGAAATGAGTGGTGGCCTAGCGGGAAATAGCCTAAACTAGACGCGGAATGATACACAAATTAGAAATTTGTTTTCCTGCATTACGCGTTGATATTTTATGTTTTTATTAAATTTTAATAATATAAACATATAAAACTAATTTAAATAAGTAATATAAAAAATATAATGTTAAATGAACGCATAACTTGCGTAGTAGAAACGCACTATTTTTAGCGCGGTCTACGACGCTCCTGTCCGCATCACTACCCTTCCTTTCAGGCTAGCTCGTGGTGGAGCCGTGAACATGAGGTAACTTGTGTGCGTCGTTTTTCGTCGTGCAATGTCAAATTAATTTGATTTCAATCCGACAACATGTTGCATGCATTCCCCAAAGTTTAATAATGATCTGACCAGTTGCGACTTCGGTCAAAATTGGCAGTTTAAGCGAACTTCGTCGCCCATCAAGATACGTGGCTGGGAGTTAGGCCTAGCCATCCCTCGCACATTTCTTACGCCGGGCATGCCGTGACATGACTGCGAGTTGTCGCAATGAAGCTAATCGCTACGTCGTTTTGTTTTCCGTTTGTCTTTTCTTAGTACCCTACGTCTACAGAAACGGCTCGCCGCCGCCGTTCTCAAGTGCGGACGCAAGAAGGTTTGGTTGGATCCTAACGAGACCAACGAAATCGCCAACTCCAACTCCCGTAAGTTGAGATTGATTTGTCCTCTTAATCTTGAGGTTTGCCTTGCATCGGTGTTCGTTTAAAAGCAGTCTGCTTCATCACTGGGTTTGTGAAAGTTCGTTGCACGTATGCCGTGGTTTTGTTTTGAAGCAGGCATTTATCCAAGTTTCTATCGTTAAACGATTATAAAGAGGAGTGCTAAGCACACAAATACAAGCCGAGAATATAACATTGGTTTGGTGTAACCTGCAAAAGGTCGGCTGTTTAGCACGTGCGACTTGACGTTTGAATATAACGGGTCTCAATATCAAGCCAGTGAATGACTTGTTTCATATGATGTGAGTTTTAAGAATTAGTCTCAACTCGCGCGGTATTAAACCAGAAATTTGTTCCGTATTTATGATAACACAGGGAGCGTGTCAATGAATGCACAACTGTAGATCAGGAAGAGAACAGCATAGCGACATTGGCAGAACGTCGAAAACTGCACACCGTTGTCAGCTGAAACACGCTCAATTGGGATGGTGTGCAGGTCAGAACATTCGCAAGCTCATCAAGGACGGTCTGATCATCCGTAAGCCCGTGGCGGTGCACTCTCGCGCCCGTGTCCGCAAGAATGCCGAGGCCCGCCGCAAGGGACGTCACTGCGGTCCTGGCAAGAGGAAGGGTACCGCCAACGCTCGTATGCCCCAGAAGGTTGTCTGGATCCGGAGAATGCGAGTGCTCCGGCGACTCCTCAAAAAGTACAGGGAAGCCAAGAAGATCGACAAGCACCTGTGAGTAGCTCTCAAAATAGCAAGTGAGACAATTTACCGTGCTGCCAGGCATTCTGCACCCTGTGTTTTCTCATACATCAGATCCTGCCCTCCCAAACACCTATACTCGGTTTCAGCCTAGCTCCAAGCGTGGCTAAATCTATGGGTGGCCAGGGCCAATCTAACGCCGGCAATAGGGTGCAACTTCGTATATCACTGCACACGGAATCTGCACGGAGATGAGGAATCATCGAAGATAGACATTTTGTTTTCTACATGACTAAAATGTCATTTCGCGTCCTAGAATAAAACTCCGGTTCAGTGCAGTGGCTGCTGGGCTTCATGGAGGGCCGTGGCTGGAACACAGGAGTTGGTAACGTTCGGTGCCCATGAGCTCTGCCGCTGTGCAGTCCAGAGCCCACGGAAAATGCAGGTTGAGTGAGCTCTCTAGGTAGACTACCGCCCTGTCTCTGATGTCAAGCAAAGCAGCACGCTCTCCGCAAACGTATAACAGCAACGAAAGCTTACCACGCTCCTCCAGTCATAGTGGAACACACAGTTTCTCGGCGCTCCACCGACACTGCATGGTTTTGCCTCTGACCGCCGCCTCGACACCTGATTTTGACCCGTTTTTCATCGGAGAGCGTTTCTCGGCGCTGCCGTCGGTAGATAGTTTTCGTTAATTTCCCAATACCTGTTAGCTCCGGTGTTCGTTTAACAACTTTGAGTACTATGGCAGTCTGGAACTCTTGACAAAGAAGAGTGCACATTCATCACAATCTCGTGACTGACACTGAAACATGCCTTTCTTCTTATCTTGCGTTGTCGGTAGACATTAGGAAAGCCGAAAGATGTCCAGCAACTTGGCGAGGAAAGCGTAAAACTTGAAGCCCACGATTCGGCCATTGAGAAGACGAAAAAGAAAATAGGAAAAAACGTGTAGTAGCTGCATCAGTGTTATCAGCAGATGAGCGAGTGTGTTACGTCAAAGCATCTTCATTACTATATTATGACGAATGTGGAACGTAATTTAATTTTTTTTTATAATTCTTTGTAGGACACAACTAGAAAATTGTCCAATGTTTGCACAAGAACAAAGTATTTGAAGAATTTTACTTTTTTGCGAATTACTTTGTAATGTGTACGAACACTCTTTTCGAAGTGGTGAACCATCCCCAGCCTTTGGCTGCTTTGGAGCGAAGCTGAAACGAGGTAAAGCACATGTTCTTTAGCTTTCCTGTCTCAAGGAACCCCTCCTGTTCTCAGCTTTGATACGGGTGCAGTGAAGTAGTTCGGGGGTCTGCAGGGCTTGTAAACAATAAGAAACATACCAGAGACTGTTTCTCATTATGCTTTGAGGGGTGGCGGTTAAACTGGGAAAACACTTAGGTGCAGTTTGAGAGCCGATGACCTAACAGGCTATTTGTTCATCTATTCGTCTAAGCTCTTCAGTGCATGTATTTTGTCACTGGCAGAAAGTGTGGTATGACTTTCCCCCGTGTTTGAACCATGGCACTTGCCTGCGGCTTCTGTAGGTACCATGACCTGTACTTGAAGGCCAAGGGCAATGTGTTCAAGAACAAGCGTGTCCTCATGGAGTACATCCACAAGAAGAAGGCCGAGAAGACCAGGAACAAGCAGCTCAAGTAAGTCTCCCTCCACTCTTCTGCAAGAGGCATTCACAGAAGCAAATAAATGTGTGGTTGCACATGGAGTTTCATTAACTTGTTGCACGAGATAAATTTTTGTGCATTGCAATGATAAAAACTATTGGCGAGGAGATTAAACGGTTGGGGGCACTTTGTTCAGCTTGTTTTTTTACAGAGCTTGGTGTTTGTGCAATGCAAGGCCTGCAGCTGGATTCTTTATGTCATTCTCCTCTTTTGCGATAGGGGCAGTGTTCGGCAGGGATTAGTGTTCAAGTGGCACTACACTGATCAGACACGAACCCCATTGGAACGCTGATGCAGCGTTTTGCTATGTCAGCAGAGTGCTGCTTCAGAAATTCCAACAAATAATTCAGGTCGTTCTCCCTGTGGGTTTAGTTGACATCTTAGCTGCTAGGATTGTGACGGTTGGATCTCGTTGCCAGTAGTCAGTTGCAGGTTGTGTAGCAGGGTACGCCCCTCCCACAAAGCTCTACTTGCCATGAGTGTCTTTTCCTTCTCCAGCATTTGCTCTGCTAAAGTGGAAAGAATGGAGGGCTTTGTGGGAGGAACTTGTCTTGCTATTCTTGATTTATGTCTAGTGTGTGCTGGCCTTTGCAGTTTAGCAGCGGAACGAATTGCTAATCTGCTGTTGTGGTTTGTTTTTCTTGCACCGTGCAGCGACCAGGCCGAAGCGAGGAGGCTGAAGGTGCGCGAGGCCCGCAACCGGAGGGAGGAGAGGAAGCAGCAGAAGAAGGCCGAGATGCTGCTCACCCTCCAGAAGGAAGAGGCTGCGGCCGTCAAGAAGTGAAGCTGCCCTGGTATCCCCTACATGTAATAAAAAAAAAATCCTGGAGTGTGAACGGACACTACTTTATTTGGTGGTTGTGTTCAACTGGGTGTCACTAAAGCCCCTCGATGTGTTTGCGTTTGTCTTGCAAGTAGCGTCAAATGTGCCAGTGCACGAAACCCGTGTCTCGAGCAACCCTTGGAAGCAAATGGAGGCGCAGCACTGAAATAACCGGCCCTTGGAAGCGAATGGCGGCGGAGCACCCGCTCATGGCACGTGTCTTGCGCGTTCCGACAACAATGATTGGCGGTACTTGAAAGCGTGAATTTTATCAAGGGACTTTAGGTGTCACTGGGTCCTTGGGGCAATCTCTGACCCAGGACTAAGCATGCTCCCAGTTTGGTATCTAGATAAACTACCCAAGAAAGAGCTGGTATTTCACCTTATGATGGACAAGCCGTCTAGAAGAATCCAATACCAAGGCGTGCCGGTACACCCTTCGGTAAATGTGTGATACGTGAGGTGTGTAGTCTCGTGATAGGTTTACAATGTTTGATTGACTGAGATGACTGTCTGCTGCAGTCCATCGTGAAGTAAGATGTAGTCTTGAAGGTAAACATTTTTCGACAGAGGCCTGCCTGGTGGGGTGAAATGACTGAATTAAAAGAATTCTCCAACCACAATACCGTATAACGAAGTCCTGACGTTTCGAAACTTACTGGGCTCCATCAGGGGTGGGTCAGCTACAGTTTCAACCTCTGTCTTTGTAAATGAGAAAACACTTTTCCTCTTTTTAAGTAGGTGGCGTTTTGGTCACTTTTTTGTAACGTGACGTAAACCTTGCGCGTACACAGAAGGCAAGGCACTTTGGGATCTCTTGATGTTTCCTGGGATTTGGCTCCGTGTCAATCACGTGCGCATGTGAGAAGTCAATCCGATGGTCACGCGCTTTGCGGTGTTCAGCAACTGTGCTGCGTTTCTCTTGAAGTTACGCACATCGTTCTTGTGCTAGCGCATTCTTTTGTGGAAGTTTTTACAGCAAAGCTGTTGAGGTGCAACCTCACCGTGCATGATGTTTTGATGCTTTTTTGATGGTATAACTTTTGTTTCTGTGTTTTTCAACGATCTCGGTATTATGATTATTTTTAGTTAATTATTCAGCCTTTAACAGACCACAGTCTAATATTGAAAAAAATTATTTCTCGAGTTATAACGTTCCGTCGTCCACAATATTTTACGTGAGTGTTCAGTTGGATATAATGAATTAAAAAAGTAAGCAACGAACTGTACAGATAGTGTATATTTTAAAATAAAAAATAAAGTTTAAAATGGTATTATTTCATGGTGCTACAAAAACAATCGCGTGAACTAATCAAAATTACGAGACATTAAATTACTAAGCATCCTTCGATATTACATTTTCCAGAACTTCCATATTGATATATTGCACGTTAAGAATTTTATTAGACCTCAAACTTTTACCATTCAGTTACAACAGATTGCAGTTTCTTAATATCAACTACAGATGGCGAAACGTGTTCAAGAATAGCTTCATGTGCATTTTCCGTCGTGTGCCGCTTGGAACGCCACGTGAAAGACAGAAAAAGTAAGAAAAAGCGGCAGATGTCAGGGTGTCAAATGCCTGGATCACCGCAGTGAGCGAACCAGAGATGTCAGAACTAGGGACGTCGCGACCCGATATTTTCAAACCGAACTGAGGTTCGAAATCGAAACATTTCGATATTTTCATATTGACCGAGGTTCGAAATCGAAAAATTCGCAACTTTAGAACACCGTGGAGCTTCGAATTCGAAAAGTTCGAAACTTTCACGGTTTCTAAAAATTCGGGTTCGAATATTTTGAATATATTTTTTTTTTTTTACTTGAGGTTCGAGAAATGCAGAGATTTCGAACTTCCCTAACTTGAAATTCGAAAGATTCAAAAATTTTGAAGTTCGAAGATTTTTTTTTTTTTTTTAATCTGAAGTTTGATAAATTTGAAGAGTTCGAATTCTTTTGGATCTGAAATGCGAACGCTTTGAATTTTTAAAGACAAAGTTCGAGAAATCGAAGATTTTGAATTTCTTTCTACATCGATTCCCTTTTAGGGCTAAATTCGAAAAAAAAAAAAAAACTTCGAAGGTTTAGATTTTTTTCCAATCCAGGTTTTCGAAGTTAGAAAGTCCGGTTTCCATGAGCCTCCACAGTTTCAGTTTCAAATAACGTTTTCACGCCTCACTGATTTTCACGAAATCGGGTTTAGAAAAGTTCGGATGTGATATTTAGACTGCGCGAATTTGATCAGGCAAATAAATGAGACGACGAGTGTCCCGGATGCATGAAAGATTAGAAAATTTTGAATTTCTTGAGATCTGAAATTCGAAGATTTCGAATTTTTTGGGATCTGAAATTTGAAAAATTGAACGCTTCGAATTTGTTTTTACATAAAGTTCGAAGGTTTCGATTCTCTTTTAAAGCTAAATTTGAAAAAGAAAAAAAAATCTTTTAAGATTTTGAATTTCTTTCCAGTCTAGGTTTTCAAAGTTCGAAGTCTGGTTTCCATGTTCCTCCAAACTTTCAGTTCCAAATAACGTTTTCACGCCTCAGTGGTTTTCACGAAATAAGGTTTAGAAAAGTTCGGATATGATATTTAGACTGCGCGAAATTGGTCAGGCAATTAAATGAGACGACGAGTGTCCCGGGTGTGCTGGAACGTCCATCACGCAGCTGTGATCACACGAACGTACCGTTTTACGATACCCATCCAGTTCGAAACGGCCAGGGGTGGGCAGGAGGTTGAGGCTCAGAAAACCCTTGAAGCGATCTGGCAAACTAACTCCCCACCCCCTTGCACACTGGTAGAAATCTGATAGAACACCAACCCGAGTGACGCTGGCGTATAGTAAGTTTAGTTTGTATTTGTTTTTGGAGGTTTATTTTCCGTGACGGAGAAACGCCGAGCAAAAAGCACAGAAGCCGACACAACTCGAGGTCGAGATATTTTGGACTGTTAAAGAAAACAATACGGGGAAAGAGGGCGTGGTCGAGCTTATTTTAATCTGAAATTATTTATGAATATGTATAGCTACTGCCGCTCTTCACTGCATAAAAGATAGCGTAGTTGGTCGTTGTCGGAAACTCGTTGTCAGAAGGTACTGGGCCCCTCGGTACGGGCCTTTGGCCTTTCCAGCACACCACAGCTCTCCTGAGTTGAAATAAAGTATTGCTATTGTTATTGTCACATGCTTAGTGGTTCGGAAGTTCAAAGCTATGTCTTTTCGATCTCAATAACTGTGCCATTGGTAAACAAAGAAAAAATAAATAAATGCGGAAATGAAAAGCTTGAGAACCCGCCGGAAGTGTTGTATTCTTGCATATTCAGAGGCTCAGAACTTTGAAACAAGTTTCTCCTACCAAAATGTGTACAGGCTAAAAGAAACACGTCCCAAAAACGTGAAGCAAAAAAAAAAATTATAAATGTTTTTTTTAATGCGCTCAACACTTGATACTGTGCTTGTGCGTGCTGTGTGTGTGTTCTGTACACCGTGTTTGGTGGCGACGCCTGGACGACCATGTGCGCCTCCGGAATTCCCGCTGTCACCACTGGACTCTACAAAATTATTTCTCGCGATGCCCTTAGCCGTTACAGGCGAGAGATTGTCGCGATTGTAACGGCTAAGGGCATCGCACGAAATACTTTTGTAGAGTCCAGTAGTGAGCGCAGCGGGAATTGCGACGGCGCAACACCTGGGTCTGAAATTGGGACACCGGTTAGTACCGCGCGTTATTAGTGGCTCTGCCTCTGCAGAACTACTGGAACCAGTCGGTTCCGCCTGGATCCAAAATTGGGGCATCAGTTTGTATCCCGTCTGGAACTGCGCGGTTCTAGGATGGATTCAAACTGGTGCCCCAATTTTAGGTCCAGGCGGAACCGGCATTTTTCATTCCGGCCTGTATCTGACATTTTCGTACGGGGCGCCAAGCGCATCCAGATGCCGAGCCAAAATGCAATGGGTCGGCAGCTTCATACTACATTAAGTTTCAAAGCCGAGGCCAGTGGGTATCCATACAGGGATACGATGGGCGCGTCAGTATCCGTGCGCCCTCAGCGCGAACGTCGCCGCGGGGCAAGCGCTGGCCGACAGTCCGACGAGACGGAGAACCTAAACTCTCGGGGCGCTGCTGGCGCTGCCGCCGACTGGAGCGCGCGCGGAGAACGCCCGCTCGCAGTGCCTGCGTAGCGGATGCACCTGTTCCTAACACGTGACCTGCAAGAGACCGCGGGAGTTCCCCGCCGACCTCCCCCTCCCCCCCCCCCCCCCCCCCCCCCACTCCTCTTTCTCCACTCACGCATGTGCGCGCCCGCTGGCTGGGAGCAGACCCTACTGGAAGCAAGGAGAACGGATCGGATCCACCCATCACCGTGCGGTTCCAGTTCGTTGCGTGTCACTGTATCCGACTGGTTACACCCGGTTACACCTAGAACCGCGCGATACCAGATCGGATTCGCGCGGATCTGAACTGTGCACAAGCGCTCCGATCTGACATTTTCGTACGGGATAGAATACGGGGTAGTGTTGGGGCCGGAGCGACTCGCGTGAGGTATGTGATTGCGATAGGTAGGTCGACATCGGCAGTAGGGTTAGTATGGTAGTGGTTATGCGCGTGTACCTGCACGTGCGGTGGTACGTGCGGACTGCAGCGATTTTCTGCAGCCCTGTCGATTGCAGCGCCGCGATTGTTGTCTACACGCGCAGCCTCACATGCTCCCATTACCGAGCCGCGCCGGTCCAAGCTCTACCCCTGAAAATGGAGCCAAAAGTAGGCTCGAAACGTCGGGACTTCTGTTTACTATTCTGTGGTTGGAGAGTTCTCTTTTAATTTAGTAAAATTTAGTGGTTGGGATAAGACTTCTTAAAGTGTGTGGGCTTGTCTGGACAAATTAAAACATTCCCGGAAATTTCCAATTCGAAAGGGCATCCAGCGGAGCCTGAAAGTTGAAATACATAAAGGCAAATGGCTTTCGACATCTAAAAAAATAATCTTTGATTGCATAATTTTCTTGCTACCAGG